CTGGCAGGGGAAGGGGAGGCTCTTAGAGATCTTCTAGCCTAGTTTTTTAAACCTGTGCTTCTCAGGGGAGTGCCCACCAGGCAGATGACGGACAAGCTTGGGGGCAGGGTCCTCGGCTTCCAAATGGTGCAGCTCTGCTTTGATCTCTTTATAGATTGTGCTTCAAGATACAATTTCATTAGGAAAAAGGAGATTCTGCCTCTGAAAGTGATAGAGGAGTTTGAAATCACTGACCCATCCCGGCCCCTCCTCCCAACATACATATGTCATTACAGATGAGGAAAGAGGTCCACAGGGAAGAGTCATACCTTAGATCCAGGTCTCCCAAGAGCCAGGTCAGCTACTACACTGACGACTGAACAAGCATCGGTGAGTGTGCAGCCCTGATCTGCAGCCACAGGAAATCCCTTCACTGCCTTTGGGAGCTTCATTTAGGGTCTAATTGAGACCAAAGTCTCGAACAGGCCAAAGACCTACACCTGAATAAGTTCAAAGGGGCTTTAGAGCTCTTCTCATCTCCCCCAAGGGCAAGTATCCCCCTAGAGCAGTGCATCCTTCACATGTGGCCGGCCACCTAGACTCTGCTTGGATGCCCCCAGTGACGGGGAGCTCTCCATATTCTGAGAGGACTCATTCAGGATTGCATTTGAGATCACTAACCAAGAAAACAGGAAAGGTCTCAGAACACTGCTCCTCCCAACTATGCTCAGACTCATCAATGACTTGGGTTAAGACATGGATGTTACAACCATCAAGTTTCTGAATATCAGAATCAAGATTCTGAGAAGCTGGAGCAATGGGCTGAAATAGGATGAAACTAATCACTGTCTCACTAAAGTCCTACAGCAGTTAGTTGCAGAAAATCAGCCTGCACAAGAATAGAGGAGGGTGACGTGATAATACATCTGAGAGTTTTCATTACCCACAAACTTAACAGTCAATAGCATGAGCTAGCTGCTAGAAAGTAATAGTACTTGGTATTTGTTGAAATCTGTGTTGCATACTATATTCAGCTTTTGTGTACATTAACTAATCTCACTATAAAATGGTTTTATGAAGTAGGGAAATTTAGGATCAGAGAAGGTAAGCCATTTGCCTAAGGTCACACAGCCAGAACCTGTGTGTTGTGAATCATCTTCTGCTGTCTTCCCCATCTTTGAAATGGGATTGGGAGTGACAAGGAAGCCGAGTTTGAGTCACACATATCCTAAAAGGGTCCATTCATGAACCCCCACCTGCACTTGCTCACAACTGTGCACGCACAAGTCCCACTGCTACCAATTTAATTACACTATATGCATTCTGTCAAGTAGACACATACAACTAGTGAACCCACAAAAATTATTCAAATTTGCCTCCTAAGTATATGTATGTGCTCTCTTGCAAATGTGCTCATTCACCCACATGCAGATCTCTCTCTGGGCCTGGGGAGCCAAAAGCATGAGGCCCCACCCCAGACAAGCGCCTGCTCGCAGCTTCCCAGAACAGCCTGTGGCTGGGCCAGCAAGCTTAGACTCGACCAGCGACCAGCAGCTTCCTGCTCTGCCAGGGTGCAGGCTGGTCCTTCTCCAGAGGGTTCAGGGGACCCCACCCTCACTCCAATCTTAGGCTTTGATTCTGCCTTGGCTTTGAAAACTAATAATAAGTAATATTTATTGAATGCTTTTCTATGGGCCAGGCACTGTGCATGGTCTTACTCGATCTTCCTAAAACCCCATGAGAGCATTACTCTTAAGAGCCCCATCTTCCAGATGAGAAAACTAAGGTTGAGAGATGTTGAGTAACTTACTCAAAGTGACGCAGTTAGCAGTTAGTGGAGCTGGGATTTGAACCAGAACAGTTGGATTCATGTCACTGCAGCTTCTCTTTCTGGCAGCATGGTCGGGAGGAAAGAACCTGGCTTTGGTTCTCAACATGTGACCTTGGGCAAGTCCCTTTCTTTCTTTCTTTAAGACTTTTCTCCAGCTTCAAAAAGTAAGGGATGCTCACTAAAGGTTCTCTCAGCTTTCACTCTGTCATTGCTGATCCTAAGTCCACATACTTCCATTTTCAATTAGTAGTTAGGTACCAGGCACTGACCTAGGCACTGGGAACCCACTCAGGAATCAGATACACAAAGCCCCTGTCTTCATGAAGCCCAACGTCTAGTGCAAGAGTCATTAAACAAATACACAGGAACACACTGTGTGGTGATGATTGCCATGGAGAAAACGGAGTGATGTGATAAATAAGGGTGTTAGGAAGGACACTACATCAAACAGAGGGTTAGAAGGTGACATTTGAGCTGAGAACTGGATAGCAAGAAGAAGCCAGCCATGTGAGAATCTTAAGTAGAGGGAAAGAACAAGTGCAAAGGCCCTGAGGCCCATCCCAGCTCGGTAGCGAGGACCCATGTGGCTGCAGCTTGGTGAACAATGGGGAGAGTGCTGGGAGAGATCACTGAGAAACAGGGAGGGCCCAGATGGTGTGGGGCCTTCCCAGACATGGTAAGGAGTTTAGATTTTAATTTAAATGATATGAGAAGCTACTGGAAAATTTTAAGCAGAAAAGTGATACAAAATTGACTTATGTTTTCACAAGATGTTTCAAAATAGTGGTCCCAGGTGATGTGGACCAGAAGGGTGTCTCAGGGAGTCCAACGTGCCTCTGCACCCTGCAAACCTGTTCACTTGCCTGGACCTGGTGCCAGGAAACTTAGGTCCAGACACAGGTCCTTCCCTCTGCAAACCAGTTGCCAGGTCTGCAGGTCCCACAGCTTGAATACAGCCATGGGCACCCCACCCCCACCCAAGGGTGCATTCTCTTTGCATCTTGTCCCCCTGCAGGGAGACTCCACCCCTGCTCCCTTCCCTACAGTTCACCTTAACGGCTCCCCTGCTCTGCAGGCCGCCCGTGCAGCTGCGGAGCAGGGCGTCTTGTTGGGGCCTGCCTGACACCGGGGCTGACCTGGTGAACAGGAAGCCTTCCCAAAGCAGGGCAGGGAGAGCTGGAGGCTGCGTGCACCCGGGCTCGGGCTCGCTGGGCCTCGCGTGGAGTGAGTGGACCTGGGACTGGGGTAAGGACTTATTTTCCCCCTGGGGCTTCAACTTCAAAAACAATGCCAGCCTGGGGGTGGCTGGGGCCCAAATAACTCAGGGGTCCCCTCCTGCTTGCGGGGGACTATGTCAGGGACAAGGTGAGTATGGCTTTTGCCTCAGGCTGGTTCCACTGGGTGCCGTGGTAAGGAGTGAGGGTAGGGGGCAGGAAGGGTGGAGAACAGATGATGCTTTTTTCTGTAACTGGCTTTAGGACCCCCAGTGTAGAATCTGCCTCCATCCTGCCCTCTCTTTCCTGAGGCGCCTGGGCTTAGGGTACCACCAACAGGACTTAAGTGAGGAATGGTAGTAGGGAGGCCAGAGGATGGGGCATATTCAAATTCTTTTCTGTGACAGGCTTTCAAATTCCACATCAGGGCTCCCTTTCCATTCCTGCCTCCATTCTGCCTCCCATCCTAGGATGCTACCTGCAAAGTCTGAAGGAATCTGCATTCAGTTTCCTCACAACTCTGCGAAGACAAGGACCCAAGCCTTCCCCTCTCCCCCTTGCTCTGGGAGTTTAACTCTTCCTTGCCTTTGAAGAGCAAGGCAACTGGAAAAACAAGTCTTGCCTGTTTCATCCAGGAATGCTTGGCACATCTGCTGGCAGCCACCACGCTCTCATGGGCTGGCAGGCACCAGCTTCTAGGAGGCCCAGTTTGGCAACCAACTCTGCCCTCCTCCCTGCCCTGTCCTGTCCTTCGCCCTGATGAGCCTCATATTTTGACCCAGGCTTGAGTTCAGGGACAAGCCCTGTGAGAAGCAGCAAGGGAGAGAGTGGGGACAGCAGCGTTAGAGGGGCTGAGCGTTAGGGTAGCTTGACTTCCCCTAGGAGGCGGTCTAACCTGGCCACCCACCCTGTTCCTCTGGGCAAGACCCTTTCCCCCTCCGGGGCTCTGTTTCCCCATCTGTGCCTGAGGAGGGGATCAGAACTCCGGCATCTCTAAGGTCCATGTCAGCTCTGACATCCCAGGAGTTGAGCTTTCTAAGTTCAAATTTACAAGGTGAGTCAGGGTCTGGCCCTCCTGTCCAGAGGGACTAGCGGTGGGACAGGCATAGGTAAGCTTGGGCTAGGGGGAGCTGCCCTGGCCCATGATGCAAGGAGTTCTAGATCTAACTCTTGCTTTGCCTCCATCTTGCTGCAAGACACTGAGCAGTTCCTTTGGCTCCGTGAAACTTAGTTTCCTATTACTAATAATAGCTAATACTAAGTTAAAACTTTCTAGGTATTAGGCGCCCTGCTAGGTCATTTAATTTTCATAACAATCCAATGAGGTAGGTAATATTCTTATACCCATTCTACAGAAGAGGAGATTGAGGCTCACAGAGATTAAACAACCTGCCAGGAAGTCACCCAGCTAGTGAGTGGCAGAGCCAGGGCTGAAGGCCAGGCAGCCTGATGCCAGGCCTCTGACCTTGGCCACTTGGCTTCTCTGCAGCCCTACACATGCCGACACCGTTCAGTTTGACTGGAGCTCAGCCTGCTGGAGGGGTCTTGCAGGAAGCACTTAGAGACAGATTGCTAAGCTGGTTGTAACTATTTTATCATCACTGGGGAGCCGCTGAAGGTTCTGGGGAGAAGAAGAGAAGGTGTTAGGACTATGTCATATCTGCCAGGTGCTCTCGAGATTTAAACTATTGTTATTGTTATTCCTCGAACACAAGGTTTCTCAGTCTCAGCACTATTGACATTTGGGGCCAGATCATTCCTTGCGGGGGGCTGTTTTGTGCATTGTAGGGTGCTGAGCAGCATCCCTGGTCTCTACCTACTAGATGCCATTAGCACCCCATCCCCAGGCTGGGATAGCTGAGAATATCTTCAGACATAGCCAATGTCCTCTGAGGGGCAAAATCACCCCCAGTTAGCAACTGCAGCAGTGGAAACCATTGTCTTCCTAACTTACACCCCTTTCTTTTTTTGCTCAGGGTTTCGGGAGTGTTTCCACCATGATTATTGCCTTGTTGGGTTTTGTCATTTTCTCGCTTCATTGTACAACCTGTGACAAGCCCCTAGAAAGGACCATCTCCTCCTCCAGCTGGCACTTCACACACACCCTTTATAATGCGACCATCTATGAAAACTCTGCTCCCAAGACCTATGTGGAGAGCTCTGTGAAAATGGGCATTTACATCGCCGAGCCCCAGTGGGCAGTGAGATACCGGATCATTTCCGGGGACGTGGCCAATGTGTTTAAAACAGAGGAGTATGTGGTGGGCAACTTCTGCTTCCTGAGAATCCGGACCAAGAGCAGCAACACGGCGCTTCTGAACAGGGAGGTGCGAGACAGCTACACCCTCATCGTCCAAGCCACGGAGAAGGCCTCGGAGTTAGAAGCTCTGACCCGTGTGGTGGTCCACATCCTGGACCAGAACGACCTGAAGCCCCTCTTCTCCCCACCTTCATACCGAGTCACCATCTCTGAGGACATGCCCCTCAAGAGCCCCATCTGCAAGGTGACCGCCACGGATGCTGACCTGGGCCAGAACGCCGAGTTCTATTATGCCTTTAACACCAGGTCGGAGATATTTGCCATCCATCCCGCCAGCGGTGTGGTCACGTTGGCTGGGAAGCTCAACGTCACCTGGCGAGGGAAGTACGAACTCCAGGTGCTGGCCGTGGACCGCATGCGGAAAATCTCAGAGGGCAATGGGTTTGGCAACTTGGCCGCACTCGTCATTCATGTAGAGCCCGCCCTCAGGAAGCCCCCGACCATCACCTCTGTGGTGGTGGCCCCACCGGACAGCAGTGAGGCTGCCACCTATGCCACTGTGGTGGTAGATGCAAACAGCTCAGGCGCTGAAGTGGACTCACTGGAAATTGTGGATGGTGACCCTGGAAAGCACTTCAAAGCCATCAAGTCTTATGCCCGGAGCAGTGAGTTCAGTTTGGTGTCTGCCAAGGACATCAACTGGCTGGAGCACCTTCACGGATTCAACCTCAGCCTGCGGGCCAGGAGTGGGAGCAGTCCTTCTTTTTATTCCCAGATCAGGGGCTTTCACCTACCCCCTTCCAAACTGGCTTCCCTCAGATTTGAGAAGCCTATTTACAGAGTACAGCTGAGCGAGTTTTCCCCGCCTGGCAGCCGCGTGGTGATGGTGAAAGTAAGCAGAGCCGTCCCCAACCTGCAGTATGTTCTAAAGCCATCCTCAGAGAGTGCGGGCTTTAAACTTCATGCTCGCACCGGGCTCATCACCACCACGAAGCTCATGGACTTCCACGAGAAGGCCCACTACCAGCTGCATATCAAAACCTTACCAGGCCTGGCCTCCACCACTGTGGCCATCGACATCGTGGACTGTAACAACCATGCCCCCACCTTCACCAGGTTCTCGTATGCTGGCACCTTTGATGAGAACATCCCTCCGGGCACCAGTGTTCTGACTGTTACTGCCACAGACCGGGATCACGGAGAGAACGGCTATGTCACCTATTCCATTGCTCGTCCAAAAGCTGTCCCCTTTTCTATCGACCCTTACCTGGGGATCATCTTCACCTCCAAACCCATGGACTATGAGCTCATGAAAAGAATTTATACCTTCCAGGTACGAGCATCAGATTGGGGATCCCCATTTCGCCAGGAAAAGGAAGTATCTGTTTCTCTTAGGCTCAATAACTTGAATGACAACAAACCTATGTTTGAGGAAGTCAACTGTACTGGGTCTATCCGTGAAGACTGGCCAGTAGGAAAATCAGTAATGACTGTGTCAGCTATAGATGTGGATGAGCTTCAGAACCTAAAATATGAATTTGTGTCAGGCAATGAACTAGAGTATTTTTATCTAAATCATTCCTCTGGAGTGATATCCCTCAAACGCTCTTTTATGAATCATACTACTGGTCAACCCATCAATTACTCCCTGAAAATTACAGCCTCAGATGGGAAATACTATGCCTCACCTACAACTTTGAATCTTACTGTAGTGAAGGACCCTCGTTTCAAGGTTCCTTATATAACATGTGATAAAACAGGGGTACTGACACATTTCACAAAAACCATCCTCCACACTGTCGGGCTTCCGAACCAGGACTCTGATGAGGAGGACTTCACTTCCTTAAGTGCATTTCAGATCAATCATCATACCCCACAGTTTGAGGACCACTTCCCGCAGTCCATTGACATCCTTGAGCGTGTTCCTCTCAACACCTCCCTGGCCCGCCTGGCAGCCACTGACCCTGATACTGGTTTTAATGGCAAACTGGTCTATGTGATTGCAGATGGCAATGAAGAGGGCTGCTTTGACATTGAGCTGGAGACAGGGCTGCTCACTGTAGCTGCCCCCTTGGACTATGAAGCCACCAGTTTCTACATCCTCAATGTAACAGTGTATGACCTGGGCACTCCCCAAAAGTCCTCCTGGAAGCTGCTGACAGTGAATGTGAAAGACTGGAATGACAATGCACCCAGATTTCCTCCTGGTGGATACCAGATAACCATCTCAGAGGACACAGAAGTTGGAACCACAATTGCAGAGCTGAAGGCAAAAGATGCTGACTCAGATGACAATGGGAGGGTTCGCTACACCCTGCTAAGCCCCACAGAGAAGTTCTCCCTCCATCCCCTCACTGGGGAACTGGTTGTCACAGGACACCTGGACAGGGAATTAGAACCTCAGTATATACTCAAGGTGGAGGCCAGGGATCAGCCCAGGAAGGGCCACCAGCTTTTCTCTGTCACTGACCTTACCATTACATTGGAAGATGTCAACGACAACTCTCCCCAGTGCATCACAGAACTCAGCAGACTGAAGGTCCCAGAAGACCTGCCCCCAGGAACTATCCTAACATTTCTGGATGCCTTTGATCCTGACCTGGGCCCAGCGGGAGAAGTGCGACATGTCCTGTTAGATGATGCCCATGGAACCTTCCAGGTGGACCTGATGACCGGCGCCCTCACTCTGGAGAAAGAGCTGGATTTTGAGACAAGGACTGGGTATAATCTGAGTCTGTGGGCCAGCGATAGTGGGAGGCCCCTGGCTCGCAGGACCCTCTGCCATGTGGAGGTGATAGTCCTGGATGTAAATGAGAATCTCCACCCTCCTCGCTTTGCCTCATTTGTACACCAGGGCCAGGTGCAGGAGAACAGCCCCCCAGGAACCCAGGTGACAGTAGTGGCTGCCCATGACAATGACAGTGGCTTGGATGGGGAGCTCCAGTACTTCCTGAGGGCTGGCACCAGTCTTACAGCCTTTAGCATCAACCAAGACACAGGTACCAGGAGTGGGGTAGGATGGGAGTGCCAGGTGCTGGGAGAGGATGGGCCTAAGGGAAATCAGGGACTGTCCTGAAAGAAGTCAGACTGCAGGCTAAAAAGGAAAGCAATAAATAGGAACTCTCCTTTCTTTCCCTTTCATTTGATTTTAAATCTATTTTTATCATACTGGGGCTACGTATATACATATATATGCGCATGTGTGTGTACCCATTTAAGTCGAATTAACCATATCACTAGTATTTGTATATATATACATATACACACACATATAAACATATATTACATATATTTGCTTATAAAAATAATGCATCAAAAAATAATGCATCATAGTTATAAATTTTTGTATATAATTTAAAAATGAAGGTTTCTCTATGACTCATCTCCCCAGATACAATATTTATTAACAATTTGGTATATAATCTTCTAAAGTTTTCTTCTTTGTATCTGGTATATTGTCACTGTTCATGCTGTTATGATGATGAAAACATAATATGATAGACACTAATTATGAAACTTATTTTTTTCACATAATGTAACTCCAGGACATCTTATATGTCAGTACATACAAATATTTGTCATTCCTTTTTAATGGCTGCATTTTGTTCTATCATATAGGTATAACATCCTTGTTCAAATGCTTTTACTCATATGCATGGGTGTCTATAGGAAAAACCCTTAAAAATGCAGTAGCTAGGTCAAAGGATAATGCATATTTTCAATGTTAATAGATATTTCCAAATTGCCCTCCAAAAAAGGTGGAACCAACCTATTTATTCCTTTCAAGCTTCACAGAAAATAAGTGCAATTCAGCAAACACTTACTGAGTACCCTCTACTCAGGAGGTCCTGACATAGGCACCTTGGGGGACATCCTGGTGAGTAAAGGTAGATCACTGCCCTTGAGGAGTTTACAATCTGATGGGTGATTTATTTCCAGGGTAAAGGGAAGGGTGATATGGTGGGAAGAGCATTAGACTAAGAGTCAGTCTAGACCCAGCTCTTCCACCTTCTGCCACATGATCTTGGTCAAGCCATGCTCTTTCTTTGGGCCTTAGTTTTCTCATCTGTCAAAGGATTAGGTTCCTTCAGCTCTGACATGCTGGGCCCTGCCCTCTCACATAGGTCCTTCCAGCTGAGGGTGAGCCACAAGAACTTACGGTGCAAGCCTCTTTTGCTCACTAGAGGACCCTCAACTTCTAGAACAGTGCAAGCCCATAGTAAGCAATGTGTGGCGCTAAGTCTTTCAAATCATGAAGATAATGGAGAGGAAAACAGCAATTTATTTATCAAGTCCCTAACCCTTAAATTGTATCTATAATGCTTGAAGCTTGAAGAAACCAGTTTGAGGACAACTGTAAGGAAATCCCTTTGAGAATGTGAAATTAAGCAATCAGTAGGCCTTGGGCTGAAGTAGCCACAAGAAAGTAGGTCAACTACCACTGTCTTCTGGAAACCCTGCAGATGCCCATATGCCAGAGTCAGGGGCCTATTTTAGCAGAGAAAGGCTCTGAGAGGTCCAATAGTAAGGATATGAATTTCCCTGTGCTTCCCTCAGCAGCTCCCACACCATATTGCCCACAGTTTCCTTTTCTCACGGACTATATATTAATATCCATCCCAGAGAATAGTCTGGGGAGTGTGAGGTAAGGTGATTTCTAAAGCTACTTTGAGCTCTAAAATATAGCAATCGACTGTCCCTAGGAATGATTCAGACCCTGGTACCCCTGGACCGAGAATTTGAGTCCTGCTACTGGCTGACGGTACTGGCAGTGGACCGGGGCTCCATACCCCTCTCTGCTGTAACTGAAGTCTACATCGAGGTTACGGATGTCAACGACAACCCACCCCGGATGTCCAGGCCCGTGTTCTACCCCTCCGTCTGGGAGGATGCGCCCTTGCACACTTCTGTGCTTCAGCTGGATGCCTGGGACCCGGACTCCAGCTCCAAGGGGAAGCTGACCTTCAACATCACCAGTGGCAACCATATGGGATTCTTTGCTATTCACCCTCTCACAGGTAAGGACCTCAAATCTGGGTGAAGAGGATTGTTTAAAACAGTGCTTCTCAAAGTGTGGTCCCGGATCAACATAGTCAGCATTACCTATGAACTGGTTAGACATTCGCATTCTCAGGTCCCATCTTAGACCTACTGAATCAGAACTCAGGGTGTGGTCCAGAAACCTGTATTTGAACAAGATTCCCAGGGGATTCCGATGGGTGCTAAATTTGAGAACCACTGCTCTACAAAGTCTGTCTCTATGGAAAAATAAGATACGTCACCGCTCTTTCCTTGGGGCCTAGGGATGCTAGCAGGTTGCCTGGTGACTACTTCAGACCTCCAAGTGCTCCCAACTGACCACTCATCTGAGTCACAAGCCACAGGCTGAATTTCCTAACCCTACTTCCAAACCAGTATCAAGCCTGTCCCACAGAGTGGTGGCACCAGACAGAGATCCACATCAGCAGAGTCACCCAGCTCACAAATATCTGTCCTCGGCCCAAGGCCATGTGGAGCAAGGATGGTGGGGGGTTCAGAGGCTTGCAGAGGTCACCGGCTTGCAGCAGTGAGCCAGAGGTAGCCCACACAGGTGTTGCATTTGGCTTGCACAAGCTTTAAACAATGATTTTTCAAGTTATTGCCAACATTTAAAAATTAGGAAATTCCACAAAACATTCCAGGTTTCTGGTTGTTCTTTAAAAACGAAAAGATCTGGTAACACTGACTGCCTCCTGCCCCATCCCCTCAGGACCACAAGTAGCTCCCTAGGTAGAGCAGGCGTGTGCCCTCTGGTCACCACAGTCCCCCTTTCCCTACTGCATATTGCCAGCCTGCTTCCGGCATTTGTGCCACCTGCCTGGCTCCTGCCAGTGCTGGAGCTTGAGAGCCAGCCAGTCCCCACGGCTGCGGATACTTCTCCTTCCTCTTGGAGGATGCATAACAACCCCGTGGCAGAGCAGGCTGGCATTCTCTCCTCTCAACCACTCTCCAGCTCCAACCATTCACCCTGGCGAGACTGGAGGACCGGGAAAGAGAGAAAGCGGGCAGGCAGTCCCCCTCCTTAAGACAAGGAAACCAGGAAAAGCATGAGTCTGGGGGTCCTGGGACAGACAGTGGGCGAGGGATACACGAGTCTACTTGTACAGTGACATCTGTGTGGAACTGCGCCTGTTAACCTTTGGCCCCAGGTAGTGGATTAGTCTTCCTAGAAGGATGCTTTCATTGACCCTGGAAAACAGGCCGAGCTGGCTCTCTACATGGTTCCACCCTGTCCCTCCCTTTTCAGAAGAGGGAAAGGATCTCTCACCTAAGGCATTAGCTTCTCAATGTCTTCCAAATCCCTATTCTGTTTACTGTCAACAGTTCCCTGGCGTGGGGTCTGGCAGAATGCCCCAGAGGGCAGAGATGTTCTTAGTCTTCCTGCACTTGAGGAAGAAATTTTTACCAGCATAAACATCTAAAAATAAAATAATCAGCAATGAGCTCCCAGCCCAGCTTTCTTAACACCTCCAGGTTATTGTCCCACTTCCCTGTTTGGATACCTTGGATGGTGTCCCTATGCCCTTAAGATAAAGCTGTGTCCTGCTGTGTCCCACAAACTTGTGCCTGACCTGGCCCCTGCTGACCTTTCTGGCTTTACCTGTCTTCTCTCACCCTGACCTCTCTGGTTCGAGCCACGTGGCCTGCTTCAGTCCATAACCTCTCCTGGCACCGAGCCTTGCCCACGCTGTTCCTTTTGCCATGAGTCCCTTCTCCTCTCCCTGTGTCTGGCTAACTCCTGCTCTTCTTTCAGATCACAGCCCAGCTCTTCTTTTCTTAGAGAAGTTTTCCTGACACTATAATACATTTTCTAGCACCATCGACTCACATATAACACTGATCACACAGAACATTATATTCCTTTATGTGATTATTCCATTAATTACCCATGTCTTTCACTAGACTTTGAAGGCTTTCTAGAAAAGTGTTCTTGCCCACTACAACATCTTCAGTGCCTGGCACACAGTAGAACCTCAATAAATAACTGGGAAGTGAATGAATGAATCTCTGCCAGCATCCACAATCTTTTGTTAAGCCCAAGATTCATTCATTTATTTGGCAAAGGGTAAAGGTGCCTGCCCTTATGAGGCATCTAAATTGTGCTATGGAGAGATGTGCAAGAAAACACAATGCAATTTAAGGTCTTGAGAAATTCAGCCCATCAGGAACACGAAGACCAAATATAAAAAACTATAGAGCCAGTGCAAATAAGCTCATCGGTGCCAGGGGTCATGGGAAGAGCCAGTACCAGGACCCAGGTGAATAATACATTAGTAACAAAGGAGTAAAAAGCTACCACTTTGTGTTTTTCATGAACTGAAGGCAATGACTGTGATCCTTGTAACTTCTGACACGCTGCCTGTTTTACTCAACATTATATTGTGCCCAGCACCGTCCTCGTGGTGAAAGCGGGTCATGGGTGGAACCCCCACGGACACCATAATCTCTGCCGTGTTCTGCTTCCTCATTTGCCCTTCCCTTTCCGCAGGGCTGCATTCCCCTTAATGTTCTCGTTGTAAAGACCAGAATTCCGATCAAGGAGTTGAATGTAGCTCTCCAGCTTACCCCCAGTGAAGGGGCCCTGGGAGCCCTGGGGGCCCTGGGGGCCCTGGGAGCTCAGGTCTCCCTCCTACCATCTCTCCCCCAGGTCTGCTGTCCACGGCCCGGCAGCTGGACCGAGAGAGCAAAGACGAACACATCCTGGAGGTGAGTAATGGCGGTGAGCCCACCCGCTGGATTTGAAAACCTCCCGAACAGGGTCAGGCTGGAGCCCAGGCAGGCCTTGGAGCCATGTACATATCTCTGTGGCTGAGGAGGGCGCTAGGCTCAGGGGGGTTGCTACCTAAGCTGAGCCTCGCTGTGGTGCAGGCTCTGAGGGTCTTTGCAGGCTCTTTAGCACCATGAAGGGAAAGCCTGAAGCCATGCCCAGGCTGGACAGGAAGCACTGATTGATTAGTAATGCCTGCAGTGAGTGCAGGAGGAGGGAGCAGTACACATGGGCTATGCGCTCCAGTCTGGTTTCCAGCCCATCCCCATGATCCAGAGAGAGGGTCACCCAAGGTCAAACACCAGGTCAGTAACAGAGCCTGGATGAAAACCCAGACCTTTGTCTCCTAGGTCTGTGCTCTTTCTAGGATGTCTCTAAAATCCCATAAGCATCTCTGGCTGTTGCCCATTTCAATGAGAGGCGTTGATCTTGACCTAAAGGGAATTAAATAAAAAGACTGTAGTTATGCCCCCTCCTGAGCTATCTACAACTGATGAACAGGCATCTCTCTTCTCATCTTAAAGACATCAGGTGGGAGGGAAACATATTCCTCAGCAGAACTGAAAGAAACTTTGCCTCTGTACTCCCAGGCTCAGCACATTCCCTTTGTAAGAAATAGGTATTATTTGTAAGCAGCAGCTAACCTGCCTTCTAGAGACTGAAGCCTTCTCCAGAGTTCAGGACAGGCATCTATCTTTATTTTATTTTACTTTTAAAAATATATCTTTATTAATTTCAGAGAGAGGAGGGGAGAGGGAGAGAGTTGAAACATCCGTGATGAGAGAGTCATTGATCAGCTGCCCCCTGCACGCCCCCGATCAGGGATTGAGCCCACAACCCGGGCATGTNAGAGAGTTGAAACATCCGTGATGAGAGAGTCATTGATCAGCTGCCCCCTGCACGCCCCCGATCGGGGATTGAGCCCACAACCCGGGCATGTCCCCTGACTGGGAATCGAACTGTGATCTCCTGGATCCTAGGTTGATGCTCAACCACTGAGCCATGTCTGGCCGGGCCAGGCATCTACCTTTACACACGAACACATTTATAAAAATCGCAACCATTTAGAGTAGAAATGTCCTGTCTCATACCCTCGGGGTCACTGATGATGCCCCTACATGAAATATTCCCTGATTCTTTTCTCTCACTCTGGATTTCATTTCATGCATCCAGCCACCTGTCTGACTCAAAAGGTACCACCCACTCCCCCATAAACATCTTCTCATTTGTTTTTTCTAACCTCCAGTAGCTTAAAGAGACTGGAGAACAAAGCCTATGAGAATTATGAGCAAATAAAAAGTAAATGGTCTCCAAGAAATGGCCCATAGGCCTGAGTTAAGGATGCCAGCTTCTGTTTGGAGCCTCTGTGACTGTCTTCTTCTAGTTCTTTCTGGCTCTTTCTCTGTTCTTGCTGGCTTTCCTGTGGGCAAGGTTGCCAGAGAGCTGGGTTCCAAGTAGGTGAGGTTGGAATAATAAAAGTCAAGAGCATAGACCAAAGAGCAGATTGCTGTTTCCAGGCTGTTGAAAGCAGGGGTGATGGTAGGGTTGTAGTGGGTGGTGACACATACTCACTGCCTTGCATTTGGCAACTCACGCTGGATTCTGTCCCCAGGTGATGGTGCTGGACAATGGGGAGCCCTGCCTAAGGTCCACCTCCAGGGTGGTGGTACGCATCTCGGACGTCAATGACAACCCCCCTGTGTTCTCCCACAAGCTCTTCAATGTTCGCCTTCCAGAGAGGCTGAGCCCTGTGACCCCTGGGCCTGTGTACAGGCTCGTGGCTTCAGACCTGGATGAGGGTCTCAATGGCAGGGTCACCTACAGTATTGAGGAGAGTGACAAGGAGGGCTTCAGCATCCACCCGGTCACAGGTGTGGTGTCATCTGGCAACACCTTCACTGCTGGAGAGTACAACATCCTAACGGTGAGCAGGATGGAGGCCTTGGAGGGGCGTGACACTATCAGTTAGGGATTTGAGGGGAGGAGACAGGAGGAGGGAGACAGCCACCAGGCATGATGAAGGTGGTACTCCCGGAGAGACTGGGAGCCTCAACTTTAGCTAAAGGATCAGAATTCTGGGTCTTTCTCTTTGAGGGCAATGAGGTCCTTGCCTGGGAAATCAGCTCTATTCTTAGAGATGAAGATTTTGGTGAGATTAAGCAGGGACTTTGGAATCAAGATAAGCCTGGGTTCCAATCCTAGCTCTGCTGTTTTATGCCTGGGACAAGTCACTTAACCCCTTTGAGCCTGTTTTATCATCTGTAAAATGAGGCTAAGAACACTTTCCTTGTAGGAAGTCAACATAGCAAGTAGCTAGGGCATGGGATCTCGTGTCAGGTAGCCTAAATCCAACCCAGCCTCATTGCCGGCCAGGCAGAAAACCCCAGGCGGTGAATTCATCATGCTGAGCCCATTTCCTCCTGCAAAAGGGAGGTGATAATGGTATCTCTCTCAGGGCTGTCATGTGGATTAAATTAGTTAGGGTACATATTGCTCTTAGAGCAGAGCCTGACAATAGTGAAAGCTCATATGTTCTAGTTTATTATGTTTATGGTTGTTGGGAAGGGTAAAGTGTCCATATGTGTAAAGTCTAGTTTAGGAACAAGCACATACTAAGCCTTCAGTTAAATAGTGGCTTTGATTTTTCCCCCCACTACTCATGAGGCTCTTGAGCACAGGTTGTATGTTCTGTTCACCACTGTGCCTGCAGCCACTGGCATGTACCTGTTCACAGTAAGCCCTCAACTGTGTGTTGAATGAATGAACAAGTAGACGAGAGGCCAGCTTGGTCAGTCACAGGGCACCCTGTTTCTCAGCTGGCCACTTGGGTCTTCTTGTTTCTCAGACCCAACCCTACAGACAAAGCCTCACTCTCAGTTCTGGCCTCTTTTCAGATCCAAGCAACAGACAGTGGGCAGCCACCACTCTCAGCCAGTGTCCGGCTCCACATCGAGTGGATCCCCCAGCCCCGGCCCTCCTCCATCCCACTGGCCTTTGAAGAGCCCCACTACAGCTTCACAGTCATGGAGACAGACCCCGTGAACCACATGGTAGGGGTCATCAGTGTTGAGGGCCGACCTGGCCTCTTCTGGTTCAACATCACAGGTGAGGCCCCAAGGAGGGCCAGCCCCTCCCGTCCTTATAGACCAGCCCTAGTCCTCATGGTATGATCCTTCTGAGCCCTCTCAAGGTCATGCTCCCTGGCAGCCCCTCTTTGGGCCACAAGTAGCGATTGCCTCTTCCCTGGTTCTCTGGGGCAGTGAGTAATAGGAGTACCACTGTGCCAAACTTCCACACCAGCTATCAGCTCAGGCAGAACCTCCATGGTCTCACTGGTAACCTCAGCCAGACTTGGACAGTGCCTCAGTTACCCCAAGTGTGTGCGAGGCCTAAGAAGGTCCAGAGAGTCCCAGAGGAAAAAGCAGAAGTTTTATGTTTCCTCTTTGCCTCCATGGGAAAATCAGTGTAGTGCTAACTTCATTGACCATGAGCCTGAGGCCAGCTGTACCCTGGGGCCAGGCTTCATGTTCTTGTCCCATGTTCCATCCTCAAGGTTAGGGGAAATGTCCATTCTTATTGTAGGAAATACTTAGGTCTAAGCTCTGATGGCCTTCTCTGAAACTCCTTTCTGTGTCATTTTTCTTCACACACACACACACACACACACACACACACACACACACACACACACTTAGGGTTATATTAACAAGATTTTGTTAAAACGGACTCCTTAGGGAATCTGATGAATGCTTGGGGCCCTCTTCCCAGAAAGTTGCACACACAAACATAGACTGATATACAAATTTAGGGGTTTCATGGATTCTCTGAAACCCAGCCAGGGATTCCAGGTTAAGAATCTGCAATCTGCCTGGCTAGACATGGCTCAGCAGTTGAGCATCAACCTAGGGTCCAGGAGATGGAGGTTCGATTCCTGGTCAGGGCACATGCCTGGGTTTTGGGCTCCATCCCCAGCAGGGGGCATGCAGGAGGCAGCCAATCAATGACTCTCTCATCATTGATGTTTCTATCTCTCTCTCTCCCTCTCGATTCTTCTCTCTGAAATCAATAAAAAATATATTTTTGAAAAAAAGAATTTGTAATCTCAGAGTCTCAGCACCACAGGAGCCATGGATTCCTATTATAGTTTCCCAGCCTGGTCCAGAGATTGGATATGCACTCATCCTGAGCTTTTGGCCTCCTGCAGTTAGTTCCAGTTCTGATTCGCTGCTTTTTTTCATTGTTTGGCTTTCTTTCTTTTATATAAAATGAATACATGTATTCTAAAGATCATTTCGAAAACACAAATGAATGCAGAGAATAAAAAATATCACCTAAACTCCCACCAATCAGAAGCTAATCCACTGTTACAATTTTGATGTGTTTTCTTCTGGTCATTTTTCTTCACACACACACACACACACACACACACACACACACACACACTTAGGGTTATATTAAAATATTGTTTTCTAACTTTTACAAATATATGATGAACATATTTCCATGTCACTAAACAGATCTCTACTTAGTAGGCACTTAAATAGCTGTATGTTAATTCTACATTTTGGATTCTTATGGTTCATTAAGTCAATTTCCTCATGTTTACCAGAGTTATTTTCATTTTTTCCTGTGCATAGGCACCTTTAGACCATGCAAACTGCCTGGAAGCCAGGAGTAGCCATCCATTACTCCTGCATGTTTTAATCCTAGTAGCAGGATATGTTCTGTGACTAATTTTGGTCTTCCTCTGGGACTCTTCAGTCCACATAAGTTCACCTTTTTCTGTATCATTACTTGGATCTTGATAATAATTAGACAATAACTTAACAAGATAAATGACAGCTTTTTGGACTCCTGGGGAATAAACTCCAGCTGTCTCCCAGATATCATACTGTTTCTGAGCAGCTTCAGAATCCCTGGTTCAGGTTCTTCCTTGAATGCCTACAGTCCCTCCAGCATCTAGTCCCGCCTCCTCTAAATTTGCCGGCCAAATCCCATGTCGTGTTCCTTATACCTAAGTCACTGAGGTTGTGTGTGCTTCCCCCCCATTCACACTCCAGGTGGGGACAAAGACATGGACTTTGACATTGAGAAGACCACAGGCAGCATCGTCATCGCTAAGCCTCTCGATACGAGGAAGAAGTCGAGTTATAATTTGACCGTGGACGTGACCGATGGGTTCCACGCCATTGCCACCCAGGTTAGAAGCCTCAGTTGGGAACTCCTAAGTTGAGAGGAGATGGGAGTACTGCTCAGTTGGGATGAAACTACGAAAGGCTTTCTGTGGATGTGGTATAGCTCACAGAATGCTAAACTGGAGCCAAAGTTCTGCATCCTAGTCTTATCTGACATATTTTCTGCTTCTGTGATCTTGGGAGGGTCCTTGTTCCCACTGTGGATCTCTATATCAGGGGGGTTTGTCTAAATTAGCAGTTTTCAATTAAAGATAGAGGGCCATGGGGCTACCAGGGGTATGAGGATTAACAGCCAAGTAAGTGAGGCTCTGGATTTCTACTCTGATTTCAGCCAGAGTTTTATCCATGTCATATACAGAGATTTCACACAAAATTTCATTAAAAGAAGAGGCCCTTTAACAAAAAAAATTGTGTTTGAAAACCACTAAACTGCATGTTACCTGAAAACCTTGTGACTTTGAAATGTTATCATTTATTCAACAAATACTTATTGAGTGCTGTGCACCAGGCACTGTGCTAGGCACAGATGATATGGTGGGGAACCAGACAGACAAAGTCCCTGACCTTGTGGAGCTTACAGTCTACTTTCTGTCTCACTCTCCTCCCTAGGTCTACATCGTCATGATTGCCAACATTAACCACCATCGGCCCCAGTTTCTGCAAGCTCATTATGAGGTCAGAGTTCCCCAAGACACACTGCCTGGGGTTGAGCTCCTCCGAGTCCAGGCCACAGATCAAGACAAGGGCAAGGGCCTCATCTACACTATACATGGCAGCCAAGACCCAGAAAGTGCCACCCTCTTCCAGCTGGACCCAAGCAGTGGTGTCCTGGTAACTGTGGGGAAGTTGGACCTAAGCTCAGGGCCCTCCCAGCACACGCTGACAGTTATGGTGAGTTAACTGAAAAATCGGGGAAGAATATACTTGTATGCAGATGTGTGGGGGTGGATGCTTGGGGCCATGCTCAGAGTTCTCTTTCCCCTGATGGGCCAGGTGTACTGATGCTCATAATGATAACCCATGAGATGAGTTGGGACATTTCACAGCCTTCCAGAGGTACCTTCCATAAAGGATGCTTGGGAGTGATGAAAGAGATGGGACAGCTGCCAAGAAAACTCCCGTAAACTTAGACTTGCTCCAGATATCCCCCAACAGTTCTCTCCCTGGTCCATAAACTGCATGACCACATTGTGAACTTATGCAGTGTCAGGGCTGGGAGGGACCCAGAAACCATTCCACCCAGGACTCACTCTCAGGGTCTTGTGTCTGCACTTTTATGACCCCGAGAGTGAGTGCCTCCTTAAATTTACACTCTACATGCCTCACTTGCCTCACTCTAGTCCAAGCCCTGATCCTACCCATTTCTCTTGTCTTACACCAGAGGTCCACAGAGGAAGAGATGTGCTCACCACCACACAGCTCTTTCTGATGGAACCAGAACTAGAGCCCAGCTTTCCTGGCTCGAGCCTCAGGGTTCTCATGTGTTAGTTTGTCATTCTCTGGGCACATTAATATGTATTAAAGGCTCTGAGAAGTCCTGCAGCAAAGAAAACTTTAATTTGATTTAATTCAGTGCTCCTTAAATTTACTTGACCATAGAATGTTTTTCCCCCCTGCACAACATGTTAACATCTTGAAAAACTAATATCCTCTGAGACCTAATCTGGAAAATACTGTTTCTCTGTTAATGTCCGCCTTTCTCCTAAAGCAAAATTATCCAATAAAATAGCTAAGCTTAATAATAATTAATAAAAAGAGCATAAATGAGAGCAAAATGAAAAGGAATAGAGCTACAATTGGGTGTATTTTCCATTGGCATTCTATTCATTGACCTTCTTCTAACCAAGCCTCTTCCCATTCCATTTGCTACCCACCCCGTCACCTCCTTGGGCCCACAGGTCCGAGACCAGGAGATGCCCATCAAGAGGAACTTTGTGTGGGTATCCATTCACGTAGAGGATGGAAACCTCCACCCACCCCGCTTCACCCAGCTCCACTATGAGGCCAGTGTTCCTGCCACCATGGCCCCTGGCACAGAGCTGCTCCAAGTCCGAGCCACGGATGGTGACCGGGGAGCCAATGCCGAGGTCCACTACTCCTTTCTGAAAGGTGAGAGTCTGGCTTGAAGTCCAGAAAGGGGGAGGGGCTTTGGGAAAGGAGAAGCAGCAGAGGCACGAATTTGGAAGTTCATGAAGGGCCAAGCGCTTTAAGCTTTGGCAAGCTATCACTCTAGAGCATTCCCTGGGACTGTAATGACCTAAGCTAATGTACTTCCAATGATGGTCAGAACAACAACTAAGGGACTACTCATGTTACTGGAGACTTTACATATATGTTATGTAAACCCACTGATAACTATACACGTAGAGGATGCTTACAAGTGCATGCAACATTTTAAAATAGAATATCTTTGTGCCTATACAATAGAAGGGGCCTAAAATACCTTATGCGACGTATGGCATAGTTTTAGGAGTAATTTTGATTTCCTGCTAAGGCCATATCTATGATTTTATATCTCCTAGGTAGTTTCCTTCATCTCAAAACTGGAATAATATTACCTGTGCCAGAAAGTCCTTGTAAAGATTAAAAGAGAAAATGTATGTTAATGCATGTTGTAAACTGTCGAATACTAGACAAATGCCAGAGGTTATTGCTATCACTGATAAGTGTTAATTATAGGTAATTGAGGTAACAAATGATAATATCTAATATCCAACTAATTTTTACTGATAATTTATAATGGTTGCTAATTCATAATTAATGATATTTAATAATGATTATCTTTCATAATAATTAATACTTCAGAGAGTTAGATGCTGTAGAGGGACAGAGGCGAACATGACTTGCTCTCTGCCCTCATAGAGCATAATGTTCATTTATTATTATATGTGTTTATGTATATACATATATAATAAAATTCATATCTATATATATATATATACACACACACCCTATACACTATATCGTAACTAAATCCAGGGTGGCATGGGGTGTGAATTTTACCCTTTCCAAGTTTTGTGTGATGGTCTCTTAACTGATCTAGAAAGCCTAGTTGGTGCCTCTTGAGGGTGTGATTAACTTCAATTCGTCCTGTCTTTTGTTTCAGGGAACAGCGAGGGTTTCTTCAACATCAATGCCCTTCTAGGCATCATCACTCTAGCCCAGAAACTTCATCAGGCAAGTCACGCCCGGTATACTCTGACAGTGAAGGCAGAAGATCAAGGCTCCCCACGGTGGCATGACCTGGCTACAGTGATCATTCACGTCCACCCTTCAGAAAGCAGTGCCCCCATCTTTTCAAAAGCCGAGTACTTTGTAGAGATCCCTGAATCAATCGCTGTTGGTTCCCCAATCCTCCTTGTCTCGGCTACAAGCTCCTCTGAAGTTACCTATGAGTTAAGAGAGGGAAACAAGGATGGTGTGTTCTCCATGAACTCATATTCCGGCCTCATTTCCACCCAGAAGAACTTGGACCATGAGAAAATTTCATCTTATCAGCTGAAAATCCGAGGCAGCAATATGGCGGGAGCATTTACTGACGTCGTGGTTCTTGTTTACATCATTGACGAAAATGACAACGCTCCCATGTTCTTAAAGCCGACTTTCGTGGGCCAAATTAGTGAGGCAGCACCATTGCACAGCATGGTCATGGATGAAAACAACAACCCCTTTGTGATTCGTGCCTCTGACAGAGACAAAGAAGCTAATTCTCTGTTGGTCTATGAAATTTTGGAGCAAGAGGCCTTGAAGTTTGTCAAAATTGATCCCAGCATGGGAACGCTAACCATTATATCAGAGATGGATTATGAGAGCACGCCCTCTTTGCAATTCAGCATCTATGTCCATGACCAAGGAAGCCCCATCTTATTTGCACCCAGGCCTGCCCAGGCCATCATCTATATCAGAGATGTAAATGACTCTCCTCCCAGGTTCTCAGACCAGATATATGAAGTAGCAATAATGAAGCCCATCCACCGGGGTATGGAGCTCCTCATGGTGTGGGCCAGCGACGATGACTCGGAAGTCCATTATAGCATCAAAACTGGCAATGCCGACGAAGCTGTTGCTATCCATCCCATGGATGGCCGAATATCTGTGTTGAATCCTGTTTTCCTGGGACACTCCCGGGAGCTTACCGTTAAGGCTTCTGATGGCCTGTATCAAGATACTGCACTGGTAAAAATTTCTTTGACACAAGCTCTTAATACAAGCTTGCAGTTTGACCAGGATGTCTACAGGGCAACAGTGAAGGAGAATTTGCAAGACAGAAAGACACTGGTGATTTTGGGTGTCCAGGGCAATCATTTGAATGACACCCTTTACTACTTCCTCTTAAACGGCACTGATATGTTTTGTATGGTCAAATCAGCAGGCGTGTTGCAGACAAGAGGTGTGGCATTTGACCGAGAACAGCAGGACACTCATAAGGTGGCAGTGGAATTGAGGGACAATAGGACCCCTCAAAGGGTGGCTCAGGCTCTGGTTATAGTTTCTGTTGAGGATGTCAATGACAATCTCCCTGAGTTTAAGCATCTGCCTTATTACACAATCATCCAAGATGGCACAGAGCCTGGGGATGTCATCTTTCAGGTATCTGCCAGTGACCAAGACTTGGGGGTAAATGGTGCTGTCACATATGCATTTGCAGAAGATTACACATATTTTCGAATTGACCCCTATCTTGGGGACATATCACTGAAGAAACCCTTTGATTATCAAGCTTTAAATAAGTATCACCTCAAAGTCATTGCTCAGGATGGAGGAAGCCCATCCCTCCAGACTACTGAAGAGGTAGTTGTCATTGTAAGAAATAAATCTAACCCGCTGTTTCAGAGTCCTTACTATAAAGTCAGAGTGCCTGAAAATATCACACTCTATACCCCGATTCTCCACACCCAGGCCCGGAGTCCAGAGGGACTCCGACTCATCTACAACATTGTGGAGGAAGAGCCCCTGATGCTGTTCACCATTGACTTTAAGACTGGTGTCCTAACAGTAACAGGCCCTTTGGACTATGAGTCTAAGAACAAACATGTGTTCACAGTCAGGGCCACAGACACAGCTCTGGGGTCATTTTCTGAAGCCACTGTGGAAGTCCTGGTGGAGGACGTCAATGATAACCCTCCCACTTTCTCCCAGTTGGTCTACACCACTTCAATCTCAGAAGGCTTGCCTGCTCAGACACCTGTGATCCAATTGTTGGCTTCTGACCAGGACTCAGGGCAGAACCATGATGTCTCCTATCAGATCGTAGAGGATGGTTCAGATGTTTCCAAATTCTTCCAGATCAATGGGAGCACAGGGGAGATGTCCACAGTTCAAGAGCTGGATTATGAATCCCAACAGCACTTTCACGTGAAGGTCAGGGCCATGGATAGAGGAAACCCTCCACTCACTGGTGAAACCCTTGTGGTTGTCGGTGTGTCTGACATCAATGACAACCCCCCAGAGTTCAGGCAACCTCAGTATGAAGCCAATGTCAGTGAGCTGGCAACCTGCGGACACCTGGTTCTCAAAGTCCAAGCTCTTGACCCCGACAGCAGGGACACTTCTCGCCTACAGTACCTGATTCTCTCTGGCAATCAGGACCGGCACTTCTCCATTAACAGCTCCTCAGGAATAATTTCTATGTTAAACCTTTGCAAAAAGCACCTGGACTCTTCTTACAATTTGAGAGTAGGTGCTTCTGATGGGGTCTTCCGAGCAACTGTGCCTGTGTATATCAACACTACAAATGCCAACAAGTACAGCCCAGAGTTCGAGCAGCATGTTTATGAGGCAGAGTTAGCAGAAAATGCAAAGGTAGGAACCAAGGTGATTGAGTTGTTAGCCATTGATAAAGACAGTGGTCCCTATGGCACTGTAGATTATACCATCATCAATAAACTAGCAGGTGAGAAGTTCTCCATAAACCCCCATGGGCAGATCACCACTCTGAAGAAATTGGATCGGGAAAATTCAACGGAAAGAGTCATCGCTATTAAAGTCATGGCTCAGGATGGAGGAGGAAAAGTGGGCTTCTGCACTGTGAAGATCATCCTCACAGATGAAAATGACAATGCTCCACAGTTCAAAGCCTCTGAGTACACAGTGTCCATTCAATCCAATGTCAGTAAAGACTCCCCAGTTATCCAGGTGCTGGCCTATGATGCAGATGAAGGTCGAAATGCAGATGTCACCTATTCAGTGGACTCAATAGAGGACTTGCATGAACAGATCATTGACATCAATCCAACCACTGGTGTTGTCAAGGTGAAAGAGAGCCTGGTGGGATTGGAAAATCGGGTCTTTGACTTAAAAATCAAAGCCCAAGATGGGGGGCCTCCTCACTGGAACTCTCTGGTGCTGTTACGTCTTCAGGTGGTTGATAATGAAGTATCCTTGCCCAAATTTTCTGAACCTCTGTATACTTTCTCTGCATCTGAAGACCTTCCAGAAGGGTCTGAAATTGGTTCTGTTAAAGCAGTGGCAGCTCAAGATCCAGTCATCTATAGTCTAGTGCAGGGCACAACACCCGAGAGCAACAGAGATGGTGTCTTCTCCTTGGACCAAAACACAGGGGCTCTAAAGGTGAGGAAGGCCATGGACTATGAGTCTACTAAATGGTACCAGATTGATTTGATGGCATATTGCCCCCATAATGACACTAACTTGGTTTCCTTGGTGTCCGTCAACATTCAAGTGAAGGACGTCAATGATAATAGGCCTATATTTGAGGCTGATCCATATAAGGCTGTCCTCACTGAGAATATGCCAGTGGGGACTGCGGTCATTCAAGTGACTGCCAATGACCAGGACACTGGGAAGGATGGCCAGGTGAGTTACAGGATGCCAGTGGATCCCGACAGTAATATCCATGAGCTCTTTGCCATTGACAGTGAAACTGGCTGGATCACTACACTCCAGGAACTTGACTGTGAGACCCGCCAGACCTACCACTTTTATGTGGTAGCCTATGACCATGGCCGGACCATCCAGCTATCTTCTCAGGTCCTGGTCGAAGTCTCCATTACAGATGAGAATGACAATGCTCCCCAATTTGCTTCTGAAGACTACAGAGGATCTGTGGTCGAGAACAGTGAACCTGGTGAACCTGTGGCCACTCTTAAAACCTTTGATGCTGATATTTCTGAGCAGAACAGACAGGTTACCTGCTATATCACAGGTAAGGATACCAGTCTTGGAATGGAGGCACTGAGGTGCACTGAGAAAAGTCCAGTAAGAGGTGCCCCAAGACATAAGTTTAAGTCCTGGCTCTGCCACTTATTAACAGTGTGACCTTGGGTAAATCACTGACACTCCCAGAACCTCAGTTGCTCCATCTACAGACTTGAGCAAGCTGTGGATAGTAGAAAATGCTTTGTAGTCAATCACTGGACCTGAGCATTGCAATAAAAACATCTCCTTAGATATGATATCAGCCCAATCCCTTCATTTCACATCTGAGAGAACCAAAATCCAGATAGAGAGAGAAACTTGACCAAGGTCACACTCCAAGCTTCCATCAGGCTGGGATTAAAATCACACCCTACAAACTGCTTTCCTCAGTGGATACCTATTGCAAACCTAAATTACCCCAATTCCTGTCCAATGGCCAAAAGAGTTTCTTTACTTCTCAATGTCCCTTTCCCTCTCTTTCGGGTGCCATGTCATTCCATTCCCATAGACATGGTTCCTTCCGCTATCACAGGTGTCTGGAGGAGAGTTAATGAGCCAAGAATCATAGACTCCTGGAGACAGACCCTGGACCAGAGCTGTTTGAAATATGGAGTCTTAGGGAAACAGAATGTTACCATCTTATATCAGACTCTTAAAAACACAAAAGTCCTAAAATCTCTGAATAATAAAATAATGTCAATATATTATCAACTCTTAGAAGAGTTGAATTGTGGAACTCTGGAATCTTAGAATCTCAGAAACCCATCTCCTCTACTAGTGACTGGTGTCAAGGAATTATATGACTCGGAAGCCCTCCACTCAGTCTGTGTCCTCAGTTGTAAAATAAGACCTCAGAGAGTTTAGTATTGTGGATCACTTTCCACCCCTCTACTGTTGAACAGATACTAGAAGATTCTTGTATGGAATTAAAATTTACTTGTCTTTAACTTTCTCCGATTCCTTCCAAAACACAAAAAATAAGAAGCCTACCTTAGGCACATATTTTGGAGTGGTGCTTCCTGCATTAATAATTCCATTAAACAGGCAGCCCTTGAACTCTGAAGACATGGTTATGCTTCATAACAGCAAATAACTGACCTAATGGAGAATTGTGAGTCCCTAGTTAATAGAGAAAATTTTTGTATTTTCCAGCAATTCTAAAAGTGTCAGGTGGGCAGCTACCTGTGGCACGAAGCTTGGTTCATTCTTGTTGCTCAGCTTCTGGAATGTCTGTCTCATGTTTTTAGAGGGAGACCCCTTGGGCCAGTTTGGCATCAGCCAAGTTGGAGATGAGTGGAGGATTTTCTCGAGGAAGACCCTGGACCGTGAGCACATGGCCAAGTACTTGCTCAGAATCACAGCTTCTGATGGCAAGTTCCAGGCTTCGGTCATTGTGGAGATCTTTGTCCTGGACATCAATGATAACAGCCCTCAGTGCTCACAGGTGAGAGCCTGGCAAGGGGTTGGGGGGAGTGGAGGCAAGGAAGCTGGAGTGAAGGGAAAGACGGAGGAGGAATCAAGGGACCGTCTCTGAGGCTGGCCTTCCCTGACCACACCTGCTTCCGCTTCTCCCCAGCTGGCCGAAAACTAGTGCCTTGGGCGGGGGTCATTCTAAGTAATTCCCTGGCCTCCCCGTAGGGATATCGTCAAGCTCTTTAGGAACCATGGTCCATACCTGTCCCCCTACACTCCCTACAAAGGACCATTTCTCTGTAAAACATACCCAGAAATAAATTAACTTCTTCATTCTTCAGACACAACCTGCCACGCTAAGTGGGAAACCCCCTCCACAGCTCAGTTTGTTAGCATGGATCGTTATTACCAAATACATCCATACAGACCTGCCCCGAGAGACGCCCTGCCCTGCCGCCCACGCTCAAGTATGCGTATCCACATCTGCAGAGGTAACACAGACCAACACAGATAACCTCCGNCATGTCTGCGTATCCACATCTGCAGAGGTAACACAGACCAACACAGATAACCTCCGCCAGGTTACACGTATTCGCAAACATGCAGACAGGGCAGTTACATTTTTGATAAGGGACACTTCCCTAAGGGCCTCATATGATTAAACCCTAAATTTCCCATGATGTGTATATGCGTGTGTGTGTGTGTGTGTGTGTGTGTGCGTGCGCACATCTCTCCTCTCCAATCTCTCTCTCTCTCTCCCTACTTCTGTCTCTCTCTGTGTCACCCTTCCTCTCTCTGGATCTGAGTGTATCTCCCGCAATTTCCCTCTTCTTTGTCTTCCGTCTCCAGCTCCTCTATACCGGCAAAGTCAGTGAAGATATATCTCCTGGACACTTCATTTTGCAAGTTTCTGCAACAGACTTGGACTCTGATACCAATGCTCAGATCACATACACTCTGCATGGTCCTGGAGCAGATGAATTTAAACTAGATCCTCATACAGGTGGGTTTCCTGAGCTATAGGATTGAACCATTTATTTACTGAATATCAAGTACCCGGTACTATGGTAGGCTCCTTGGGAAATGAAACAGGAATTGACTTATCCATCTTTCCATCTACCCAGCAAACATACTTTGGCACATTGTGCCAAGCATTGCACTAGCTGCTGGAGAAATAATTAATTGACTAATAAGACAAGATCTGGGTCTTTAAAATCTAATAGGAAAGGCAGTCACTTAATCAGTGGTTTGAAATGTGCTGAGCTGAGAAAAAATGCAGGGTTTTAAGGGGAGTTTTGATAGAACTTGACTTAGGCTTGGGAGTGAGATTAAGTGAAAGCTCTCTGAAGAAAGGGCATTTTATGTGAGACTTGAGGACATATAGGAGTTAGCCAGGATAGATAATAGAGTAGTAAGTAGTAGGAACAAACATTCAAGGCAGAAGAATTTATACAAAGGCCTAGTTTTTGGAAAGAGTGTGCACATCAGGAGGACCAGAAACTGGTGCACAGAAGGGGTGGAGAGAGGGCAAAGGAAGAGACCCTCAGGATGGCAGGGGGCAAATCCCTCCTTTAGAGCCATTGAAGGATTTAGGCAGGTGTGTGTCAAGGTCAGACTGGGGATAAAACCTGTATTGTGGTAAGGATCAGAGATAAAGTATGTGGAAGCCTAGCCCAGGTGTGGCACATAAAAGAAGTTCAACAGATGTGGTTGCCATTGTCATTATCATTAGTTAGGGGACAAAGCAGAGAGCTGGAAGTAGAAAGCCCTGCGGGATAGACCTCAAATACCCGGGAGAGGCTGGGCTGTGAGAGTCTGGTGGAGAAGGCAGGGTGGGGTCTGCTCCCTTTGGAAGAGCAGCCCACAGAGGTGGGATCCCAGTCCCGCTGCTGTGTAGGGAAGGGGATGGGGATGGGCAGCACAGAAGGGCCCAGTCACAGAGGGCCAGCTGCCAACACTTGGCTCGGAACCTGTAGCCTTGGAGATTCCTGAGCAGGGAGGTGGCAGGTGAGAGTGGTGTCCCAGGAAACTGTCTGAACAGACAGGAGACAATATTGTCCTCCCTGACTCCAGAATGGGCATGCTGAGTCACCCCAGGTGGGTTACGTGATCTCTTTCTGCTGTTGTTTGTTCAGCTGCAGGATGATCAGTGGAGTGAAAAAAAAGAGGGGGGGCAGTTTTTCTGAATATGGAAATAATACATGTTTATCGTACAAAAACTCAAACAATGTAGGTGTATATTATGCAGAAATTGGGAAGATTACGTAATAATTAGCCCCAAGATAAGCACTCTTGGTATATATTCTGTCAGACTGGTTTTCCATGCATCTCCGAAGTCCCTGTACAGAATACTGTTTTGTGACTTGCTTTTTTTCATGTAACAATATCTTGGAGAAATTAGCAAGACAGTGCATAAAGCCCTATCATAATTCCTTTTTGGTTGCACGGTATTTTACTGCATGGCTAAACCATAATATAATTAACCAGTCCCCTTTCGAAAAACATATAGGATATTTTCGGTATGTTGCTATTATAAACACTCTCTTTATTGGGTTTATTATACAGGATATATTTCTAGAAATAAAATTGTGGGCCAAAGGATAAACACATTTTAGCAGTTGTTAAGAAATTGTCTAAATGCCCTTTAAAAGTGTTGTGCCTCTTTGCAGCTTGTTGGTGTGATGTCAAATTGGTGATGGCGTGGTGGAGTGTGTTTTAGGGGAGTGAGCAGGTTTGGGGGGTGGGGATATAGGTGAGCTTCTTTCCTGACCATCCATAAACAGGGCTGACTTCTTTCCTCTGGGACGAAACTGAATGGCTGGCATTGTCTTGCATAGATATCTAGAAGGCACGTGCCGGGGTTACATCCACCCAGCGAAAGCTCACCTGCTGTCATTTCTCTGGCCAGGGGTGCTGACCACACTCACAGCCCTAGACCGAGAGAGGAAGGATGTGTACAGCCTTGTTGCCAAGGCGACAGATGGAGGCGGCCAATCTTGCCAGGCAGATGTGACCCTCCAGGTGGAGGACGTGAATGACAACGCCCCCCGCTTCTTCCCGAGCCACTGTGCTGTGGCTGTCTTTGACAACACCACGATTAAGACCCCCGTGGCCGTGGTACTGGCTCGGGATCCAGATCAAGGTGAGAACAAGAAGGCTTGGAAGCCTCTGCTCATGGGGTCACCTTGGGCAAGGGTTTGGCTCTGTGTGTTGCTCTGGGACTGGTAAGGACTGTGCCTCCTCACTGAGTCTCCGGACACTTGCAAGTGGAAAATGTCTGTCCACAAACTGCGTACCTCAGTGCTACATGACAAAAGAGTTTGGCAATTTTTCGGGACCAGTACAGGGCATTTCAGTCTCATTGTTTCTCACTGCCACTTAGACCTGGAGCCCTTTCAATCCTGTCATTTTACCTCAAGGACAAATTGAATGCAAACACTTAATCAGAAATACACCAGTCAGAATTATTCAACTCTGATGAATTTGCCGCAGCAAAGGAATTTTGGGCACAAATTCCATTAAGCCTACTAAATTCCTTAATCAATTTTCTATACAATAAAGTGGAATCCTTTTCAATATTTTACATTTTAATTTTAATGACATCATTTTCATTAGGGTTAATTCTTTTCCTTTTAAATTTTACAAGGCAAATTGGATTCATCCGGGAGTATTTATTCCATATTGTGCCAATTATAGCTTCTGCCATCAAATGTTTTATTGTTGTTACACACACACACACACACACACACACACACAATGTCAGGTATGTGTCATGAGTAAAATTTTATAATTGAGGTAGGGTAAAAAATGCCCTGGGGTCAAAGTAGCCAGATCAACATAGGATATGATAATGATGATGATGTTGATGATAAAAGTGGGAATCAAAATATCCTCTTTTGTTCGACTCCAGCAAAGTAAACTTAAGACTTCCTAGACTAGAGGAAGTGAGCTTTAGCTTGGCAATGAAGGAGGTGAGAGATTTTGGAGGGATGCAGGAGTTCTAGGGAGGGCAAATAGTCAGTGCAAACGCAGCCAATGGCTACAGTAAGGCCCTATAAAAGCTCAATTAGCCAGTGCTTGCTCACCTCCAGAGACAGGAAGCTCCCTACTTCCTAGGCAGCCCCTTCCTTCCATGCTGCCTCAGATAATTACCAAGCACTGCCTATTTGGAGCTAACAATCATCAGTCCTGATCCTGCCCTCTGCAGCCACACAGATGTCCTAGATGCTCACTCATGACAGCCCTTCCAAGACTAGGAGGTAGTGACTACCTGCTTCAGCCTCGACCTTCCCCTTCAGGATGGAAGAGGCCTAGTGTCTTCAGTCACCTCTTTCCAATCCCACCAGCCTTGTGGGACACATCCTCTGACCTTGCACTGGTTTACCATTAACCTTTCAAATGCCCTCGGTCTCCCCCACAGGCACCAATGCCCAGGTGGTTTACTCCCTGACCGACTCTGCTGAAGGCCACTTCTCCATCGAGGCCACCACGGGTGTGATCCGGCTGGAGAAGCCGCTGCAGGTCAGGCCGCAGGCAGCACTGCAGCTCACCGTTCGTGCCTCTGACCTGGGCACCCCGATCCCGCTGTCCACACTGGGCACCGTCACGGTGTCCGTGGTGGGCCTCGAAGACTACCTGCCCGTGTTCCTGAACACGGAGCACAGAGTGCAGGTGCCCGAGGACGCCCAGCCTGGCACAGAGGTGCTGCATCTGGCCACCCTCACCCGTCCGGGTTCTGAGAAGACTGGCTATCGCATGGTCAGCGGGAATGAGCAGGGGAGGTTCCGCTTGGATGCCCGCACAGGTGAGAGCGCCTGAGGCAGCCCCTGCCAGGGTCCCCGGGGACTTTGGATTCCTCATATACAGGGCATATCTGCCCACGCAGCCCTCCCCGGCCAAGCTCCTTTGGCCCTTTCTTCACTCTGCATGTCTCCAGGTACCAGGTCCCTCCTGCACCCTGGGGCCAGTTTATGTGGGAACCTCCATTATTCCCCCACTTCCCCACCCAAGACCCTAAGCAACCCACTCTCCTCCCACAGTTTGCGGCTTCCAGGTTTCAGCTCAGACCCAGCCCTACAAGGCTGAGGCCACCCTCCATGCCTGGCTGCAGAGGTAGAAGCACTTTGGGAAATGTGGGGCATAACAGCCCAGGACAAGACTGTGGCTTCCCTCCTAGAGCCCTCCCCAAATACCCTGGCACCCCTGAATTTCCTTTATTCTAACAAAGAGAGGCTCCCCAGGTCAACCCACACCCCGTGCAGAGTCCTCCCCACAGCACCCCTGCAATGCTATCTACCTCCTAAAGTAGCTGCCTTATTGTTGAGCAATGCTTTCTTAAAGTTTGTATTATGAAGACTTTAAACAAATAAAAAATAGAAAAGAGTATAAATTACCTGTTCCCATCACCCAGCTTCAGGAATTATCAACACACACCAGCTGGTGTCATCTTCACCTGTCCCCCTCCCACATCGACCCGTTGCTGAGTTATTTTAAAGCAAATCCCAGACACCATATCATTTAGTTTATAATACTTTGGTGTGTATCTCTAAATGATAAGAACTCCTTTTATAAACACAACCACAATACCATTATCACACTTAAAAGATAATTCCTTAATATTGTCTAATACCTAGCGAGATAATTTTTCAGGTTATCTTATGTCTTTTTGAAGCTGGTTTGTCTGTCAACATCCCTCAAATGATTTATATGCAATATCTTAAGTCTCTTTTAATCTCTGATATCTTCCTCTCCTTCTTTATTTCCCCCTGCCATTTATTTAATGAAAATGTTGGGTCATGTGTTGGTCAGAATTTTTTATATTTTGGATTGGCTAGCTGTATCTTTATGATGTCATCATATAACCCATCTCTCTAATCCTTATAAGTCTTTTTTTTTTTTTTTTAAGTATATCTTTATTGATTTCAGAGAGAGGAAGGGAGAGGGAGAGAGAGAGATAGGAACATCAATGATGAGAGAGTCATTGATCAGCTGCAGCCCACAACCCGGGCCTGTGCCCTGACCGGGAATCGAACCCTGATCCCCTGGATCCTAGGTCGATGCTCAACCGTTGAGCCACGCCCAGCTGGGCTCTAATCCTTATAAGTCTTATAAATGACATTTGGACCAAAGACCTTGATCAGGTTCAAACTCAATTTTTTGGCCACAATGCCTCATAAACAATGCTGGGCTCTCCTTTGCACTATGTTGGGAGGCTGACTGGTTCTTTTTAGGTTAAGGTTGACGGTGGGCTTGGAGTTGTCAGCCTGATTCATCCAATATAGAGTTGTCCATCAGTTCTACTTCTAATGGTTTTAGCAGCCTTTGATGATCATTTCCTAGATATATTATTCCATTTGGAGCTGCAAAATGATGACTTTCTAATCCTATCATTCCTCATTCATTTACTAACTGGAATTCTTTTATAAAGAAGTGTTTTCCACCATTAACTGTTGTCCAGGAGCTGCAGGAAAAACCCTTGTTCTTTCCTTTTCCAGTTTTCAGAATAATAAATCTATGCCCTAACAATTTATTGAACAACTTTGGGTGATATAAAGCTCTTAATAATTTAACCTCTGTCGTGTCCTAGCTGAGTGAGCTTGGGTAGGTCACTTAGCTGTTGGGAGCATCAATTTGACTCACCTACAAAATGGAAATCACTTTTTTATCTAATATAAGTAGATTTAATACTGCAGACTTAATGGGATTTCAATGAAATATTACAAAAATAAATGAGGGAAGCACTGCCATTGAGAACAATAGTAAAGAAAATGAGAGGAGATGGAAGGTAAAGAGGGAGACGAAGGAGGGGGTGATGGGAGGTGATGGAGGAGATCTGTCTCTCCTGACACTATTGAGCTGCCTCTCCTGGGGTTTGGTTCAAGACTTCTCAGCCTCTGCCTTTGTGGTCCCAACTGTCTCAATGCTCCCATCACCTCTTTTTCCATCAGGGATCCTATACGTCGACAGGAGCCTGGACTTTGAGACAAACCCCAAGTACTTCCTGTCCATTGAGTGCAGCCGGAAAGGTTCTTCCTCCCTCGGTGACATGACCACAATCGTGGTCAACGTCACTGATATCAATGAACACCGACCCAGATTCCCCCAGGATCGGTACAGCACGAGGGTCTTAGAGAATGCCATCGTGGGCGACACTGTGCTCACGGTAAGGATCTGCAGTTCTGCTGTTTGGGGGGCATGGGCTCTGGGGTGGATTCTTATCTCTCCCTTCCCCCTGTCACCCATGAGCATAGATTAGTTTACAATTAATACACAACAGACTTGACTCTGTACTTGCAGCCACTTGGCCAAACTGTCTCTCATGACAAAATGTCTCAGGAACATGTCTGATAAAATCTAGATCAAGTCCTGATGACATGGGGCACGGGAGAGGCCCCAGAAGACTATTAGAGACTCCAAAGCCTGAGAAAGGCCTGGTCACAGCGTGGGAGGGAACATGTAATTGTTCCCAGGGCATGGAGTGAAGTTCTGTACGCCCACAGTCCAGGTTCCCCCTGACCCTTCATTCTGCCTTTGGTCCCATCTCCTCCCACTCCCTACATGCGCCCTCGGCTCCGACCACACTGGGAGATGCGCCCTTCCCCAGGCATCCTCTGCGCTTTCACACCTCTGGACTCCTGCTATTGCCTCTGCTTAGAACATGGGCTCCGCTCCCGGAAGCCATCCTTATTTCAAGGCTTCATGGATCCTTTTCTAGTCTCCCCAGCTGGAACGTATCACTGCGTTTCTACGCTGATCAGCTTAGAAAGCTGATCATACTTTGCCCCCCACATTAGAATTATCCATAAAATTAGATGTTACGTTTTTTTGTGGGCATATTAGTTTTGCCACATTCCTCACCTCCTAGCGCAGGACCTAGCACCCTATGGGTCAATGAGTAAATGAATTAATGAGTGGATAAATGAATGAGCCATGGCATGCTGAAGTCCATATTAGGACATAATAGATTCCTTTGGCAAGGATGACTGTGGTCCAGTCATTGGGGAGGGAACATATCTGTGCCCCCTACATTCCCAGGGGCTGAGATTCCTTTCTGGTCCCTCTTGCCCCTCATTCACAACCATCGCCCCCCTCCACTGCAGGTGTCAGCTACTGATGAAGATGGACCCCTAAATAGTGCCATCACCTACAGCCTGGTAGGAGGGAACCAGCTTGGGCACTTTGCCGTCCACCCCAAGAAGGGGGAGCTACAGGTGGCCAAGGCCTTGGATTGGGAACAGGTGAGTCATGTAGGAGGGGCCCAATCTGAGTTCATCAAAGCAGAATTTAGCCCTGCTACAAGTCCAGAGTATGAATTGTGGTCAATGCCCCATCCTAACACTTCTCCAGGCCTGCCCCCACTTGTTTTCTCTGTAGGGCCTCTATGGCCTGTGAGACCAGAGGCAGGAGAGGGACTGAGTGACACTTAACCTTCCCTGGAGAAGCTCAGGCCAGCTTCTCACCACTGGCCAGGGATCATTAGATCATTATAACAAGTTAACATTTATTGAGCACCTGCTCTGTGCCAGGAACTTTGCTAAGCACTTTATATTCATTATGCTATTTGGTCCTTAAAATAACCCTTGGAGATGGGTCCTGATATCATCCTCACAGAAGTTTGGTCACTTTCCCAAGGTCTCACAGCTAGTAAATGGTTGAACTGGAAACCAACCCTATTTTTGTCTGACTCCGGAACCTGGGCCCTAAAATGCTATTGTTGGGCAATGGGGGGGGGGGGACTTAGGGAAGTATCTCTACCTTATTTTTCTGAAAACATTAATGATGAAGCTTAGGGAAGTATCTCTACCTTATTTTTCTGAAAACATTAATGATGAATCGGGGGGGCAGAATTGAGGGGTCCCATTGCTAACTCTCCACTGGGTATCTTGCTATGTAGACTTCTAGCTATTCCCTGAGGCTCCGAGCCACAGACAGTGGGCGGCCCCCACTGCATGAGGACATAGACGTCGCCATCCAAGTGGTCGATGTCAATGACAACCCACCAAGATTCTTCCAGCTCAACTATAGCACCTCTGTTCAGGTACGTTTGACCTTCCAAGGCACCCTAAACCCACCCCTCCCTTCATTTCCCTCCTAGAGGAGGGTGCTCAGCACTGGTATGAGTCTACCCGAACAATGGCCGTGACCTTGCACTGGTCTAGACTGACCAAGTCAACAACTAACTGGCAGGCAGGCAGAATGAATGAATGAATGCTCAAGGTGCAAGTATGCCCTGGGCACAGCCAGGGTGCCGAGGACTCATCCCAGGGAAGGGGATGCAGAAAGGTGTGAGAGGAAGAACTGGGACTCATTTTGCTCTTTGATTTCCTGTCACTCTCAATCTCAGGAGAACTGCCCCATCGGCAGCAAAGTCCTGCAGCTGATCCTGAGTGACCCGGACTCCCCAGAGAATGGCCCTCCCTACTCATTTCAAATCACCAAGGGGAACGACGGCTCTGCCTTCCGAGTGACTCCAGATGGGTGGCTGGTGACCACCGCGTACCTGAACAGGAAAGTCCAGGAATGGTATCAGCTTCAGATCGAGGTGAGAGCATGGTTGGTGACATTGGGGACAGTAAATGTGCTGGCAAAAACATTACCAGTGCTTCAATTATTAGAAAAAACCACATACAGAGCTCTTACTATGTGCCAGGCACTGGGCTAAGTGTTAAACATGCATCATTGCAATAAATCCTCACAACATGCTTTAGGGCCGGTACAGTTATCAACCCCATTTTATAGATGTGATAACCAAGGCACACAGAGGTTAACTGACTGGCTCGAAGTCATACTACTAGTAATTAGCAGAGGTGGATTGCTTCAAACCCAAGCTCTCTGACCCCAGAGCCCAAGCTCTTAATTTCGGCCCTGCTCCCAGGCAGGACACCCTCAACCTGGCTCTCACTCCTTGAGGCTGGTCGGGACAGCTCTCTGAACCTCAGGTCTTGTTAAAGGCCTACCCCAGAGAATTGGCGTGGGGTCAAATGAGAGAACATATATACATGTGTAGGGGATTGTGGTGGTATTATTACGGGTTGTATGAGAATTGCCCAGTGGCAGTGACTAAGATGGTGCTCAAACATTACTCTTTCATTTCATTCCCCCCAAATCCTTTTCTTAAGTGAGGTCACGTCACTGCCTTGCTTAAAACCTTCAATGGCTTTTCGTAGCTCTGACATAAAATGCCACCTTGCGCTCCTCTGCCCACCAGTGACGGGGTCCCTGCTTCCCTCTCCCTCACCTCGTCCTCTGCCATGCCCACTCTGCTGGCAACAGTGGCCCCTTTCTGTTTTGTTAAGCATACCACAGTCTTTCCTACCCAAGGGCTATGCCTGTCTGTCCCCTCTTGTCCTCACCTATTCTCATCCCTCAGGACTCAGCTCAAGTGTCACCTCCTCGGAGAAGAGACTCCTCTCCCAGCTGATCTAACTCAGGTCTTTCAATCCTCAGATGTCTCCATCACCTCTCTCCATTTATTTGCTCCACAGCGACTTATCCAAGTCTGACATCCTCTTGTTTATTGTCATTTATTGTCTCTTTTCTCCTGATCACAGCACAAATATTTGTTAGCTGAACTAAAAAAAAAAAAATGCTCCCCCTGAACCCAAGCCCAATCACAGAGTAAAGGGGAATCCCAAAGAGAATCTCCTAAGGCTGGCAGGGGCCATGAAGGACAAACACTGGCGTCGCTAAGACACCTCTTAGAGAATGAGAGAAGTTCAAGAGCAAGGAGGCCAGGTCATGTGGCCGGAGGGGTTTAGGGAGAGGCTCAGAGAGATGTCCAGCGGGGAGAGGCAGCTAAGTCTTACTGTGTGGCGCGGGGTGTAACTCCCTCCACGAAGCCCTCAGTGCTGTTGGAGCTAGTATTTTCTCTCTCAAACGTGACAGCACGCTGAGCCTGCCCTCAGGTAGCGAGATACGATCCCCCACGGAGCCAGCATCCTGGGCCACAGTCCCACGGTAACGCCGTGCTTCCCTGCCCACAGGTGTCCGACAGCGGCATCCCACCCCTTTCATCTTCCACGGCTGTCAGAGTCCACGTCACGGAGCAGAGCCACTACCCACCCTCCGCCCTCCCACTGGAGATCTTCATCACCGTCGGGGAGGAGGAGTTCCAGGGCGGCATGGTGGGCAAAATCCATGCCACAGACCGAGACCCGCAGGACACGCTGACCTACAGCCTGGCAGGAGAGGAGACCCTGGGCAGGCGCTTCTCGGTGGGAGCGTCCGATGGCAAGATCATCGCTGCCCAGGGACTGCCTCATGGCCGCTATGCGTTCAATGTCACAGTCAGCGATGGGACCTTCACTACCACTGCTGGGGTCCACGTCCACGTGTGGCATGTGGGGTGGGAGGCTCTGCAGCAGAGCATGTGGATGGGCTTCCACCAGCTCACCCCGGAGGAGCTGGTGAGCGACCACTGGAGGAACCTGCAGAGGTTCCTCAGCAACAAGCTGGACATCAGACGAGCCAATATCCACTTGGCCAGCCTTCAGCCTGCAGAGGCCACGGCGGGGGTGGATGTGCTTCTGGTCTTTGAGGGGCATTCCGGAAACTTCCACAAGCTACAGGAGCTGGCAACCATCATTGCTCAGTCAGCCAAGGAAATGGAGCACTCGGTGGGAATTCAGATGAGGTCAGCCATGCCTGTGGTGCCCTGCCAGGGACCAAGCTGCCAGGGTCAAATCTGCCAAGAGACAGTGCACCTGGACCCCAGGGTCGGGCCCACGTACAGCACAGCGAGGCTCAGCATCCTGACCCCGCGGCACCACCTGGAGGGGAACTGCTCCTGCAATGGTGAGGAATGGGCCTTCCCCAAGGCAGCCAGCAGGGTGGGCTCTGCCAGCCTGACTCCAGGGATGGAGATCCCGGGGAGGGGGTGTGGGGTAAGGGAAGTTTTAACAGGGCTAAAGGCCAGGAACCACCATGAGGCAGGTGTGGCCTCACAAAATCTAGTCACAGGACAGCACCCTATTCTTGGCCACTTTTTGGAATTTTGAAAATAATGGTAAAAATACAAGAGGCAATTTAGCATCATGGCTAAGGGTACAGACTTTGGCATCAAGCTGCCTGGGTTCAAATCTCAGCTCTGCCACTTGCTAGCCACGTGAGCTTAGGAAAATTACTAAACCTCTCTGTGCCTTTGGGTCGTTGTAGGGATTAATTGAATATTAAATAACAATAGCAAGTGCTTGTTTAGAAAAGTGCCTGATATAGCAAGTGGTCAGTAAACACTTCCTAATACTGCCACTATTATTACTGTAGCCTGGTGGTTATAACGTAAAGGTTTAGACTAAATGGCGCAGGTTCAAGCCCCACCTGTATCACTTACTAGCTAGGCAACCTTGGGGGTTTATTAAAGGCTCTGGGCTTTAGTTTCTCAACCATAAAATAATGAAAATATTATCATCTGCCTCCTTGAGTTGGTTTGGGGAGTAAATTACTGAATGGATATAAAAGCACTTAACCCCTGGCTGGCCCATACTGAGCACCCATCAGTGGCAACTATCATTCATAGGGTAGCAGTTGTTGCTATAAGGACTCTGCTACGGGCCAGGCTCTGTGTGTATGTTACCTAAACTCATTGTCACCACAACCCCACGAAGCAGGGTCGTAGCTCCATCTACAGTTGAAACTGAAGGGCGGGGATTATATTATATTGGTTTGCCTGAAACTATAGGCTCTGGTGAAGGATTGATCATTCAAATACCTATGCACCCCACTCTAAAGCCTGAACTCTTTGAGCAGCTCTTTAGGAACTCAGTTTTCTGAAAGGTTTCAACCAGTGTCCATGGCATTAAGACCAATGCACATGAGCATTGGCCGAAAGAGAATGACCTTGCCTGCAGCTCGCCGTCGCCCCCTGCCTGGTATTGCCTACCCTCTATGGGTCCACCTGGTTTGCATTAGGGAATTCTTTCTCAGATCTGTTGACTCTCTCTGGGCCCACTGGATTTAGGCTGGGTGAGCTACTCTTGGTGTGGGGTGGGGGTTCCCTTCTTGTGTCTCTTGCCCCAGAGTGAGGTGCAGGGACAGCTGTGTTGGCTGAAGCTTCTCTCTTGACCATCTGGCATCAGATAGCAGAGGTTCTAAAATTAAAGATTGTGCAAAATCACGCAGGGAGTGTGCTTTTAAAGAGACCTGTTCCTGGGGATCACCTCCAGAGTTTTTTATTTAGAAAATCTTGGGTGAGGCCTGGAATTGGCTTTTTTAACCAGCACCTCAGCCAACGCTGAAGCAGGTGGTGTGAGTGAGGGCTGCACTTTAAGAAATACTAGATGGGCTGGCTCATGCATCACCGGAATCACTTGGACAGAAGTTTTGGGTTATTTTTTTAATTTTAGAAAAATATGACATACAGAAAGATCCTGGCATCACAGTGCATAATTCAACAAGTTTTCACAAGCCAAATGCATAGTACAACCAGAACCTAGATCGAGGGTCAGAACATGACCCTCAGACAGCTCCCCTGGCCTCTGTTCTAGTCACTCCAGCCATCATGGGGAGAGTTTGAAAATGCAGATTCCCATGTGCCACCAGAACTTCCACGTCATACTCTCTGAGGACAGAGCCTGGCATTTAGTATTTTAAAAGATTCTCCAGATGATGCTGATATTCAGCCTGGTTTGGGATTCCTGATCTAGATAACCTTCAATATCCCATCCATTAAGGAGCTAGTACAGTGGAATCTCCAGCATCGGAGAGGATTAGACCTGCGGTGTGACAACTCTTTGGATTTTATAATCCCGTGTGCCTCAGGCTTTCTGGTTCTTTCTCCTCTTTTTGGCCTGTTCCCTCTTCAACAATTCCTCTTCCCTAGGTCTCGGGGCTTGTACCACTAATCCCTTCCCCTTACAACCATTATTCACAGGGATTTGATATTTGAACTCAGTTCTGGGGAGGGTGGAGTTTCTAAAATCTCAGGAGGGCAGTGCTGAATATAGCACAGCATTTCCCAAAGTGGGTTCTGCAGAATGCTGACTCCAAGGGCTACGAATGGGTGGTCCACGTAAGAGGGTCCCATGGTCAAATAAGCTTGAGAAACCCAAGTGTGGGTGAAGTCTCCTTATGCAACTGCATATTAGCAGTTCTGGGGGGGTTGGAGCATGCGGAACTTTACAGAAGTTTTGGCCGCACGATCTATCACTTCCTTTATCACAGAGTCTCCTGGCCTCTCAGGGGCGTTTCATTTGGGAAGTGCTTACCCAAGTGGTTACACTCCTAACGATGAGAAAAGAGATATCTTGAGGCAAAACAACCCTGTGGTGTTCCTGAAATCACACCTATATGCAAAATCCTCTCCAATTCTACTTCCTTCTTCCCCAAATGAGATAGAAATGACACAAAACACAGTAGGATAGAAATGTTGATCTTCACACACCTGACTAATTATATATCTGGCTTGATTCCTGCCTTGTTAATAGTTTGAGGTCATAGCTTCTGACCCAGGCAGGGACCCAAGGCAAGGGTCCCTGGGGTCAAAGGAGGGTGTGCAGGGTGATGGCCCTGTCTAGCTGTGTGACCCTGGACAAGTAACCCCCAGTCTCGTTTCTTCATCTATAAAGTGAGCAATGACTCTGCTTGTCACCAAAGGGGTGAATGAGACAGTCAGCTGGAGGGCTCTGTGGGGACCACGTCACGTGGAGGTGACACCTCTGGTTGCTTTCACAGGCACTGCTGCAAGGTTCAGCGGTCAGAGCTTCGGGCGGTACAGTCTCCCAGAGGCTCAGAACTGGCACATCCGTTTCCGTCTGAAAACACTCCAGTCACAGGCCGTTCTCCTGTTCAGCAATGGGACAGTGCATATCTCCCTGAAGGTAGGGCACCGCCAGCCTGAGAGATGCCATGGGAGCGTGCCAGGCTCTGGAGGTGGGGGCAGCGTGAGCATGGCCAAGAAGGCCAATTTCAGCAAAGAAATCCCTTCATGGTTCTCAGGGATGTTAGGTCTGACCATTATGTCAGGACACAAGACTTTCCGGTCACGACGGCCAAAGCCACCCCACCTGAAGATGCATGTCCAAATACAACAACAGAGGTCAGGCTATTCTATGGGAGCAAAGAAAGTCTCTGAAGAGAGAAAGAGAGATAGATGGGCCCATCTAGCTCTGGTGCTTTTATCACTTTTGCTGAGTAACAGAACAGTGTTTCCCAAGACAGGGGAGGCTGGTTACCACTGGGGTGTTCAAGATGAAAAGCCCAGCATTAACGTTACATGGAAGAAAAATGAAGTTCAATGGATACTTTTTCCATTGATTTTTTTTCTTTTTTAGAGAGAGTGGAAGGAAAGGAGGGAGGAAGGGAGAGAAACAGAAACATCGATGTGAGAGAGATACATCGATTGGTTGCCTCTCGCATGCGGGATCCAACCCGCAACCCAGGCACATGCTCTTGCTAGGAAATTGAGCCCACGACTCTTTGGTACGCAGGCCTGACACTCCAACCACTGAGCCACACTGGCCAGGGTTGAATTTCCTTTCTAATAGTCTTTCAGCCCTTCTGATTATGTCATCTAGAAAGTCTCAGTTTACCTTCCTGATTTGAACACCTCTAGCACACATATCAGTCTCCCACTTTGACAAAGAGAAACAGACTTTGGCCAGTTAGAACTTAATTCATTCAATAAATATTTATTGAGCACCTACTATGTGACAGGCACTGTTCTAGGTGTTGCTGTCTCATCAGTGAATAGGAAAAAAAAACCCTTACAGCTTTTGTCCTAACAATAACCATAATAAATCAGAAAATTACAGAGTCTGTCCCAATGTGATAAGTGTTTTGGGTTAAAAGGGGAAAAAAAGTTAAGGGAAATCATGAGTAGGGGAAGTTGTAATTTTAAATAAGGTGGTCAGGGGAGGCTTCATTGAGGTGATAACTGAATAATAATTTGAACGGGGTGAGGGAGTCCACCTAGACAGCTGGGGAAACAGCATTCTAGGTAGAGGGAATAGTAATTGGCAGGAGATTCCTTAGCATGCTCAAGGCACAACCCAGAGGTCTGTATGGCTTGATTGAAGCGAGGGGAGAGGAGGAGGAGTTGAGGTCAGAGATGTAATGAGAGGGGGCAGATCTATAAAGTCTCATAGGACATTGAAGGACTTTGGCTTTTATTCTGAATAAAATGGAGGGCATCAGAAGGTTTTGAGCAGAGAACTAACATATGCAAAAAGGGCCCTTATGGCTGCTGTGCTAAGAATAGGCCTTAGAAGAACAGACAGAAGCAAAGAGATCCAGCCCAAGAAGCAATAATTCAGGTGAGAGATGATGGTGGTTCAGATCACGGCAGTGGCAGTGGAACTTGGAAGAAGAGGTCAGATTCTGGGTAGATTTTGAAGGTAAGGCCAACAGGACTTCCTGATGAATTGAATGAGGGGGTGGAGAGAAAGGAAGGAGTAAGAATTTTGGCCTGAGCAACCAGAAAGGATGGAGTTACTGCCAACAGACCTGGGAAAGAATATGGGTAAAGCAGGTTTGGGGGGAAGATCTGGAGTTCAGTTTTGGACATGTAAGTTTGAAATGCCTATTTGACCTCCAAGTGGAGCTGGATAAACAAGTCCAGTGTTTATGAGAAAGGTCTGAGATGAAGATGAAGATCACCAAGGAGTGTAGATTAAAAAGAGAGTAGGCCAAGCTTTCATCCTTGAGACACCCTAACACTGAGATGTCGGGGTCCAACAAAGGAGACTGAAAAGGGGCAATCAGTGATAGTGGAGGAAAACCAAGACAGTAATGTACCCGGGAAGCCAAGGCACACATACCAAGAAGGAAGGAGTGCGGGATCAGCTGGGTGATATGCTGCTGAGAGGTCAACTAAGATGGGAAGTGACATTAATCGCTGGATTTGGCAACACAGAGGCCACAGCATACCCTGACACCAGTGGTTTCAGTGTTGTGGTGGGTGAGGGTGGAATTTTGCTGCAAAAGGAAGCAGAGGAAAAAACGCTATATTTGGCAAGAGAAGTATGTTCAAGTCAACTTTTAAAAAATAATATTAGAGCAATAATGTTTGTATGACAATTGGGATGATCCAGCAGAGAATGAACAAAGTTGTAGGAAAGAGAAAGAAGAGTCAGTGGAACCTTGTCCCTGAGGAAGTGTGTGTGTGGGGGGGTCTCTTGCATGAATGGGGAGATTGGCTTCCACCAAGGTGGACAGATGTGATTGTGAGAGGGTCCCCAAATCCCTGTCTGATTGCTGAGAGTTGAGAATGAGGAAGGAGGCATCGGGGGTCTGAGGAGAGAGAAGGTGTGGAAATAGTCATCTGGGAGAGTAAATGAACTAAGGAAGACAGTACGACCGTTGAGCAGCATGAAGGGCTCACTTGAGACTCATGGTCATGAAATTAAAGGGGGCTCAATAAGTAAGGCTGTTTCTCTGCAGCCGTGTTCAGCTCCATGATGTTCCTTCAGAATAGGGGGAGACTTGAGTTTTGCCAGATTTGTGGGTTTGCCAAGTGAGTTCTACCAAGTAAGGGAAGGGTAGGACTTTGGCTATGGAACTTACGCTGCATAAGGAGAGGAGTGAGGACATTGCTAAGAAGGCAAGAGACAGTGAAGACGGAGGTGGGATCAATGGATTTGTGGTCCTGAGTAAAGTTAAAGGAGTGATTTAAGCGCGATGTTTTGAGCTGTACTTACTTTTTTCATTCTATTTTTCTATTTACTGTATAATAGTATGTTTCCTTTTTAAGTAAATAATAGTATAGGTAGTGTTGAATCAGGGCAAAAATCAAGAAGGTGGTGTACAAATGGCTAACTCCTAAAATCACTGGACTGTATCTTCAAATTTCACCCAGAGACAGTGCTTATAGTGAGCAGAAAAATATTTGACCACAAATTATCCCACTTCTTAGGGTGAGGCGAACTAAAATGTTTTAACCCAGGCTTTTTGATTTCGGGACTTTTTACACTCTTAAAAATGATTGAAGATCTTAAGGAAGTTTTGTTTATATGGGTTATATATAGCTATCGACGTTTCCAGTACAGTATTAGAAATTAAAACTGACAAATGTTAAAATCTTTATTTGTTAATTCATTTAAAAGTAAGGAAGCCATTACATGTTCACATAAAAAACATATTTTTATGAAAAATAATTACATTTTCCAAAATAAAAAGCATTTTTTTACATTTTTTGCAAATCTCTCTGCTGTCTGGCTTAATAGAAGAAGACAGCTGGCTTTTCATATCTACTTCTGCCTTCATCTGTTGTGATAACACGTCTCAGAAATCTCCACTGTATATTTGTGAGGGAATGAGAGTAGAAAAGGCAGATAACGTCTTAAGATTATTATGAATATAGTTTCTCCTTGTAGATCCCCTGACTGGATCTTGGAGACCCACTTCAAGAACTGCTAAACTATTGAATAAGGGAATGGGAGTGAGAGAGAGGCTTTGGTATCCTTGAAGGCCAATGCCCAGGAATGCAGAACACTGGAGAGGCCTTTGCAGAAGAATCCAGAAAATAGCAAGGCATCTCTGGGCCTCAGTTTCCTCATCTGTGAAGTAAAGATGCCATCCCTGCCCAGGCCATCCCATGGAGTGCAGTGAGGGCCACATAAAACCATAGACAGAAGAGCACTTTGAAGGCTTTCATTCTCTATAAACACAATATCTAAAACAGCCTTGAAAAACACTCCCCCTCCCACCCATGAAAATATAACCAACATTCTTTGCCCTGGCAGCCCGTTAGTAGGGCTTTTTATAAGGACTTCTTGGCTTTGCTGATGCCATCTGGGTTTTCTTTGCAGCTGGTCGATGGTGTGCTCGAGCTGGAATACCGTTGCCCAGGTGGTTTTTATGGAACGCTTTCCTCCTGGCTCCATGTGAATGACAGAGAGTGGCACTCCGTTCTGGTGAAGGAGACGGATACTTCCATTCGCCTGTTGGTTGACAGCTCAGGCAACGGCTCCCTTGTGCTCCCAGAGAAGTGCCAGGGTCTGAGGCCCGAAAGGGACCTCTTTCTAGGCGGCCTTGTCCTCTCTCACTCTCCCCCGAATGTCTCCCAGGGCTTCGAAGGGTGCCTGGATGCGTTCACCATCAATGGAGAGGCACTGGAGCTGCTGGCCCATGGCAAGAAGGCGGTGGGCTTGCTGGAGAGGCAGGCCCTCACCCAGTGCTGCGTCCACAGCAAAGACTGTAGCCAGAACCCGTGTATCAACGGCGGGAAGTGCTCACAGGCCCATGGGACAGGTAAGCGCTGGGGGAGGGTCACATCAAGGCTTATCCCAGCGGGCTCTTCAGAGGACCCTGACATGCTGGACTAGCAATCATATATCACTACAGAGTGTACAAAGCATATTGTTGCACCACAGCCCCATGAAGAAGGGAGGGAGAGAGGGAGGGACGGAAGAGAGCCATTGACAGCCCCATTTTACAGCTCAGGAAACTGCTGGGCTACGGAAGCGAAGCCAGAAAGGTAAAGGAACTCAGCCATGGTAGTTAGGTGAGAGGGGCACGTCCTGGGTCCAGATCTCCGTGAAACACTTTGCCTCCTGATTCCCAACGTCCCTTTCTTTTCCTCATTGCCCAGTGAGCAACGGGATGAGATCTGCTAGGTCTACACTGGGGGAAGCCAGGAGTCTGCATTCTCGCTCAATAAGAACTTTCTTTCTTCCTACATTTTTTGGATGGGGGAAGCATATGAATGGGGACCTCTGGTGTAGAGGTTGCGACCGTCACACATTTTAGTGTCATCACTACTCTCTGTCCCCACTGCCATCACTCTGACTCAAGCCCCCGTCATCTCTCTCCTTTTCTATGACACCAGCCACCTTCCTTCTCCTGCTCCTCTCCCTCCACCTGCATCTTCTGGGAGGGTACTTTACATAAAAACACTGATCCGCAAACAGTGCAGATCTGAGCATGTCGCTTTTCTGCTTGGAACCTAGCAGTGTCTTCTCCTTGCTGTTCTGATAGAGTCCCAACTCCTAATTCCTGCCTATGGCTCATACCTTGCTTGCCTGGCCCCTCCAGGCCCTGCAGCTCCTACCCCCACCCCCCTTTTTCAGCAGGCTCGCCCACCCTGCCATCGTTTTAGTTCCTGAGATTTGCCACACCCTCCCCACTAAGCCTTTACCCGTGTTCTCCTCTGCATGAAACACCTTCCTCTTTGCCCCTCTCTTTTTGCCTGGCTAATTTTTTCTCATCCTTGAGCCTGAAATAGCGCCTGCTCCAGGAAACCACTCCAATGCTTCCCTTCAATGTAACTAATTTTTATGATAATTACTCATACACTGATATTACATATGACTGTCTAGGTTTGCATCCAAATTTTGCTACTTACTAGCTGTGTGGCCTTAAGCAAATGTCATACATTCTCTGTGCCTCATTTCCTCACCTGCTATTGCACCTGTCCCTTGATGAGGATAACAGGAGCCCATGTCAGAGCTGTCACGAGTATCAAAGAAGCTCATCTGTGAAGATCCTTACTTAGGATAAGTGTTATCTGGGTAAATGAGGAGGGTATGCAGCATTCTTTAGATGCCTGTCCTCTGCTGGACTGTAGGCTATTTGAGGGCCAGGATCAAGTCTCCTTGCCCAGCAGGGCACCAATGCCCAGCACGGTGTTGGCACTCAGTAAATAAACATGAACACGTATCTGCAAACACACTGCGGCCTCCCCTCCATCCCGGGGGGACTCTCAGCCTGGGCTGCCTGACTGCCAGGCCCACGCACTCTCTCACCTCCCTGCTCTTCCTCCCAGGCTATGTCTGCGAATGTCCCCCACAGTTCTCTGGGAAACACTGTGAACAAAGAAAGGAGAACTGTACTTTGATGCCCTGCCTGGAAGATGGAACTTGCATCCCCTCCCCTGAAGGAGCCGCCTGTAACTGCCCTCACCCCCACACAGGAGATAGGTAAGCACAGGAGAGGCCACCTGCCATTGGCTCCTCACCCTGGGTTTGGCACCATTAGGGAATGAGCTCTGCACTCTGAACTCTAGAAAGGCCAAAGGGGGCAAGGGTCTGAGTGCCCCACAACCCAGTTCCTCAGCCTTTCCCATGGGTCAAGGCTTCTCCCTCCGACCACCTGTATCAGAACACTCTGGGAGAGGGAGGTGCTTGTTGATAAGATATTTCCCAAGCCCTATTCTAAACCTACTGAATCAGACTCCCCAGGCTGGGGCCCAGGAATCTATACTTCTAACCAGCTCCTCAGGCGGTTCTCATCTTTGGTAAAGTCTGAAAACAGCTAGTGTTCTTAGTCTTTTGCTCTGGATCGAGACTTCCCAGCAGTGATCTGGAGACAATGACCATTTGGTACAGGTACTGCTGTGGGTCTTGAACCCCACTGCAAGCCACCTGTGCCTCGTGTTATGTTGGTTTGCAGGAGTGGGTGGAGGGGTTGCAAGAGAAGGCGAATCATCTAAGAACCCTGTAGGTCAAGAGGCTTTGGCACTCTGGTTTTATGGCTCCCCAACTTGTGAGCCTTTAAAAAATCATGAATGGAGACTGGTGAAAAATATACATTCCTGGACCAACTAAATCAGAACCTCCAAGGAGTGAGGCCTGGAATTCTACTTTGTTTTACAAACTCCCAAGGGAGTCCTTGCTGTCAGTCTGCATAAGAGAGCCAATGATGTAGTCCGCCCACTCATCTTACAGATGGGGAAACTGAGGCCCAGAGGAGGAAAGGGCTTATCCAAGATCCCCCTGTGTGTTGATGACCCAAGTCCTCTTTCTTGACTACTGACATTTCCGGCCCACTTCACTTACTGCCTGCAGTACACAGTGCTCTCCATTTGGCAGATATGTCATAAGGACACTCCTTGGCTGAAAGTGGTGTTTGCATTTTAAAAGAGGAACTTGGGGAGGACAACGTTAAACCCCAAGGGACAAACTGTTGGTGAAATTTCAGGCACTGGGGGATGTTTTGGACTCAAGTAGAATGAAGGGAGCCTTTCCCAATATCCTTTCAAAAGTGGATAAAGCTGGCCATAGAAGCCTCCTAAGAGTCTTACACCAGGGAACGCCAAGCCGAAGGTGACCTGAGAGGTCATGGAGTTCCAGGTGCTCTCTGAGAAAGCTGCCCAGTGTAACGTGGGTGCAGAGCAAAGCTGGGTCCGTGACCTGCTGGTGATGCCTGGCTGCCATTGCTGGGTGACTTGCTGACTTGTACCTGGGACCCAGACATTATTGCTAGAGGACAGCTAGGTATGTTTGCTGCCTCTATCGCCATATATGGTTGGAAATCAGATCTCATTAGTGGACAGTATATCCAATACCTAGGTCTCATGGGTGAAAATAATGGATATGCTCAGAGTCCAGACCCAAATGGTGATAAATGAGGGTGTAGCTGAGTCCTACACATTACTAGTATAAGATGGAAAGTTCTGAAGTTGATATGTTGATGTGCTTGAGAATTCTCTCTCTCTTTTTTTTTATTTTTAGTAGAAAATTGAAGAGGGTAGGCTTGAGTGCAAGGGTCTCCATCCCATAGAACTTTGTAAGAGGGGACATGGAAAGGGCAGTATAGTGACTCAGCCCCCTACCTACCTCTCTGTCTCTGCAGGTGCGAAATGGAAGCAAGGGGCTGCTCAGAAGGACACTGCCTGGTCACCCCTGAGATCAAAAGTGGGGACTGGGGGCAGCAGGAGATTCTGATCAGCATAGTGCCCCTACTGTTCGCTATTGCCAGCATTGTTGGGCTTCTCCTCTACTGCCGCCGTTGCAAGTCCCACAAGCCTGTGGCCATGGAAGACCCAGACCTCCTGGCTAGGAGCATTGGTGTTGACACCCAAGCCATGCCTGCCATCGAGCTCAACCCCCTGAGCACCAACTCCTGCAACAACTTGAACCAACTAGAGCCCAGTAAGATCTCAGGTCCAAATGAACTCGTCACTTTCGGACCCAGCTCTAAGCAGCAGCCAATGGTCTGCAGTGTGCCTCCCAGACTCCCACCGGCTGCGGTCCCTTCCCACTCTGACAATGAGTCCATCATTAAGAGGACCTGGTCAGGCGAGGAGATGGGTCAGTATAGCCAGAGGCCCTTAGCCTTGGGGACTGGTGGAATGGGGTGGTAGACCAAAGCACTTCACTCTCTGAGGCACAAGGGATTGTGGCCACCATTCAGGCCAATCCCTTGGAATGGGACGTGAACAAGGTCACAGTGCACTAGTGGACTGGTCTCTGGAATCAGAGTCTGTGGCTCATTCTGCCTGCATCATGATCCACTTCTCGAAATCCAAGACACTCCATAGGCTTGATGTCCATGGCAGAAACCTATAGACTCTGGATAGGAGTGGGTAGGATCCCTGGGATCAAAGGGGGGCTTCAGAACTTCTGGGAAAGGAAAGAGAAGCAGCAGTCCACCCTTCTGATCACCCAATCTAGAGGTGCAGCAACCTCAGGCCAGACCTGGCTGGCTGAGAGGAGGTACCTCCACCCCTTTCTTGTCTTTGGCTCAAAAGGAGGTGAATACATAAGCACTTCACATTTTCTGGCTTATTCACCAATAATTAAAACAGTATTTTCACTAACTTTTTGCTCATAGGGTAGCCAGAGCCCATAAAGACGAAGTGACCTGTTCTAACTCACCCAACTATTCAGTAGCAGGGACACAGCTGAGACCAAAGATGCTTGGTCTCCAATCTTCCAAGACACATCTCATTTAACCACCCTCTGTCATATATGCCATCACACCTACTCCGAACTGTTTCCTTCAATTAAGAAGACAAAACCCACCAGTAAGACTTGGGAGGGAGCTGCTGTCTCCAGCACTGGGGGTGGGCTGCATGGAGCGGTCCACATTCTTCCCTTGTTCACTGACCCTTCGATCAGTGGCACAGATTTGCAAGATGGGCTGGCTTTGCATTAAACCTCTGGCCTTAAACATGGCCCCACTGGATTCTAGATATCAACTTAAGCTGCCAGAGACGACATGCATAGATGGGCCACAGATAGTAGTTGTCAGGCCAGCTGGAACCTTCACCAGGGAAATTCAAAGCTCACCCTATCTCAATGTTCTCTTTCAGTGTACCCAGGTGGAGCCACGGTCTGGCCCCCTACTTACTCCAGGAAGGAGCACTGGGAATATCCCCACTCTGAAGTGACCTCGGGCCCTCTGCCGCCCTCGCCTCACCGCCACCAGAACCCAGCTGTGATGCCAGAACCCACTGGCCTCTATGGGGGTTTTCCCTTCCCACTGGAGCTGGAAAACAAGAGGGCACCCCTCCCACCACGCTACAGCAACCAGAACCTGGAAGATCTGATGCCCCCGCGGCCCCCCAGTCCCCGGGAACGCCTGCTGGCCCCCTGTCTCAATGAGTACACAGCCATCAGCTACTACCACTCGCAGTTCCGGCAGGGTGGGGGAGGGCCCTGCCCAGCAGAGGGGGGGTACAAGGGGGTGAGTATGCGCCTCAGCCGTGCTGGGCCCTCTTATGCTGACTGTGAGGTGGGGGGTGGGCTTCCCGCAGGCCAGGGCCAGCCCCAGGCACCCCCCAACTATGAGGGCTCTGACATGGTAGAGAGTGATTATGGGAGCTGTGAGGAGGTCATGTTCTAGCTGTCCTCAGAGGAAGGCAGGTGGGAGGCCAAGGGCTTGGCACCTTCTCCCTGTCTCATAGAGTGAGTAGAGCATGTCTGGGAAGGTGGGAGGGAAGCCCCCATGCCCATTCCAGGCTGCCATACCTTGAAATGTGCTCTTCCAGAGCCCCAGCTAGTCCCTGAGGATGGAGGGAAGCTGAGGGTAGAGCTCCAGAAACAGCATGAGGGCCCCAGCAGAAAGGGGATGCACAGAGCAGTTACCCTGGAAAGCCAGGAAAAGCTGACTCCTAAGTGGGCAAGAGGCAGCCTGTCTCTGATCTGCCACCTCTCAGTGCCCAGGGAGGCAGGGCCTGAACTACTGGGTCAACTCTTTTGGGGCACATTCTTATACCTGCACAGCTCCATTCTGGAGGAAGAGGCAGGCACATGCCTCACAGGCTACCACAACACCCACCATAGAGACGAGGTTCCAGGGTCGCTGACCCTGGAGGGCCACAGGGTGTCCTCCTAGGGCTGAGAAGTGAGCAGCAGGCGAGCAGTTACCAGAAGTCACTTATGCACCCTGCCTCGTTCATATATCTATTGCAGCACCTGCTCCATGTCAGGCGCTGTGCTAGGCATCGGGGATAAGATGGTGAACGAGGGCGACAAGGGTGCCTGAGGAGCATCGCTTTGGCCTCAGTCTCCTGGAGGTCCCACTCCTCTAATCCAGATTCCAACCAAGCCACTTGCTCCACCTCTTTAAGTTACATGGCTTTCTATCAGACAGGGCCAGCCAGGATTTCTGCTGCCCTGGACCTTCTTTGTTAAAGAATTCAGACCTCATGGAACTCTGGGTTCTTCATCCCAAGTTTCTCAAGCACTTTGGGCCAAAGGCAGGAAGGATATAATTCATAATTTTTAAAAATTTTAGGCACTTTTCAACCTTGCTGTATGGATGAGTTGCCCCAAAGGGATTTTTCTTCCATAGACACAAGGAACTTACAATGTCCATTCAGGGCAAGGTAGAGGCAGGGAGCCAGACAGCAGGGTGTTGGTGTCCACACTGGACACCCTGCCCTTGCCTGCCCCTCCATTTCAGAATCCTGCCAATCTAAGTGTTACCTGCAGTGACTCAACCCTATGCATGGACAGTCAATGTGGGCATGTGTCTACACATGTGGGCACCCATGTATAATACATTTGTACACATGTGTAGAATGTATGTAGCCAGGAGTGGCAGCAATCAGATAATTCTGGTGGCCTTGCTACTCTGCCCACACCCCATCCCTTTCTCTGGTCCACTTCTTTTTCATGTGTTATTTCTGGAGACAAAAGCCAAAAGGAAGAGCAACAGAGTCTCTCACCCCCAGGGTTGCTGTTCACAGCGAGAGAGAGGCTGGGTGGGTGAGTGTGTGTTTGTGTGAGTGGTTCGTGGCTGTGCGTGAGACTGTGAGTGTGAATGATGGTGTACATGGTTTCATTGGTTTTTGTCTTTTTTTTTTTAACAATAAAGTATCTTTTTTACTGTTATTTTCTGTGTCACTTACCCTTGTTTGGGGTTAAGTCAGGGAAAGTGCACAAGGGTTTACAAGCCCTTCAAAGCTGAGGTTCATAGTATTGGGGGGCTGGAAGGGGCCCTAAAAATCATTAAACACCCAAATCTAGCAAAACAACTAAAATAAAGATCCCTGAGCCCTACCTCAGACATACAAAATTAGAACTTCTAGAGATGGGACCCAGGACACTAAGAAAAAATGACTCCAGTTCCGATACAACTGTCCACAGTGGACAAGTTGACTAACCAGCAGGTTAATGAAAGGCCGGGACAAGGCTTCAGGGCTGCTGAACCCAGCTAGCACCCTCTGCACCACACAGCCCTGATTGGGGAGAGGGGCTTACTATCCTAGGTCTTGGGAAGCCAGGCACCGCCCACCCCCCCCCAGCCTGAGTCAGACTGTGGTCACTGAGGCCCCACTGGATGTGAATGTCACCAGGCAACCATGGTCCACGTAACCTTTGCAGAAACACTGAGACTGGAAAACCTGGTACCTGCCCTCAGGCTCCCACTGCAGACTATGGCTCTGGGGTCATGCAGGCTCGGTTCCAAACCCGTTCTGCCACATACTAACTCTGGCAGGTATGACTTAGTCTCTCATTTTTCAGTAAAACTAAGACAGTAAATAACAGCTACATCATAATACTGTTCTGGGGAATAAACATAAAGAGCTTACCACATAAACAATAAATTGTGATAATTATGCTAAGAAATAATACCAGGTAGTATACAGGTAGAATTAACTTATCAGAACTGTTATGGAAATCACAAATAATCTAGTTCAGTGTTGCCTAAATTTCTGTTGTGCTTACCAATTTTATGATTTTTGCTCTGATAGAATACCACCTGTGCTATTATTTAATATTTTTCTTTTAGTGTATTTAGATTTTTAAATTTTTTACTCACCTTAAAATGATAATATCCATAAGCTAAAGGATTTGAAAGTTACTATTTCTTCTCGCACACTTGAAAATACATAACCATTCAGGTTTTTAAAAAATGACTGTCCAGGGACCCCCTAAATCATCTTTGGGAAACACTGATCTAGTCCATCTCCATTCCCAATATTACTCACCCCGAGGCCCACAGAGGAAGACATTTTTGTCCCAGGTCCCATGGCTAGAATTTCACGGGGATGAGACCCATATTCAGGTCTGACACGCAGCCTGGGGATCTCCCTACAAAAGCACTCACTCAGCCTCTGTCCACCCAGCCATCCCTCCATGAAGCAGGCCCCTTCTTCCCTTTAGCCTCCGGAGCCTGCACCTTCATGTTTGAGTCACCAGAGGGCTCTCTGAGATCAAGACCCAGCCCACTAGGCTGCCGAAGACCCAAAGATTTTCAGGGAAATCATCCCACCAGGCCACTGGGGCTCCAAACGCCCTGAGAATGACACAGCATAACAGTGGCAGAGAAAGGCATAGGCCCAGGTCTCCTGACTTCCAGGCTGGGCTTTTTTACAGTTTACCATAATCATCCTCACTACCACCTCTTACTGACACTTGCTATATGTCAGGCACTGTACAAGCACTTGGCATATCTTGTTTTATTCAATCTTCACAAAAACCCCAGGAGGTAAGTACTATCATCTCTATTTTACAGATGGAGGTACAGAAACACACAGAAATGAAATAGCTTGTAACTTATGTTGGTAACTTAAAGTGAAGTCACCAGTTGATGAGTGACAGGGCCAGGACTCAATACAGACAGGGCTGTCTGACTCCAGACCCATACCTTACATTTGGGTTCATAAAACAAATGATAATAGTAGCAAGAAGGACTGACAGGGTTTAGTCCAGTGATCCAACTGAGTGCAGAGGCCAAGAACGTCCCTAAAATTCTAGGAGGTATTCACAACCAGGGTGTCAGGATTAGGGAAGGTGGAGTCTGTTCTAACCTAGGGTCCAACTCCAGGCTACTCCTATAATCCTGGTTCCAGTTCTGAGGCTGGGCCTTAAGAGCCACACAGCAACCTTGAGCACTGCTAGAGAAGGGCAGCCAGGAAGAGGTGGGGGTCGGACGCAGGACTTACAACCAAGTCCTGTAAGGAAGGGCAGTGGAATTCACCAGGACAGACGGCAAAGGGACCTGAGACGCTCCTCCAGGCGGCAGTGTAGTGAGGGTGGCCTGTACAACTGTGCCATCACATAGGGTTTCTCAAGGCCTTATACAGAAGGCAATGTATCTTCCAGAAACCAGAGCACTGCTGGAGGGAGACACGTGAGGTCATAGGGGAAGACCTGTGAACCTTGAAAAATGAGTAAGAAGGGCAGACAGAGCCTAAGGCCTTGGGAGAAAAACCACTCTCTTTTAGATGAAGATTATGGAGATTCTAAAAGATGGGGGAGGGGGGTATACAGTATGTAAAACTTGCAGACATGGAGTGACTTGTCAAGGGCCCACAACGAATTCAATATAGAACAGCCGGCCAACCTTCCTTACAGTACATAATTGGTGAGATGCCACCTTTGAGGGTGCTAGGCCCAGGTGCTCAAAAATAAGCCACATTGCAGTGCCGAAGGACAGATTCTGGAAGTCCTCAGATGTCCTCTGCCAGCTCCAGCCTGAGGAGAGGCACAGGCTGTCTCACTGAATGAAGAACAGAAACTTTCTCAGGGACCGGGCTGGAGAAAGACAAGCTTTAGAATTTTCTCAAGATTCCTCAACAAATCTGCAGGGTCCAACCAAGGAAAGTGCTCAGTGAGACTGGTACAAAACTCAAAATGAATTACACTGATGTCAACTCCTTATAGGCCAGGGCACCACACTCCCTACTGAAGGAAACTACACTGAATTTGGTAACCAACCAATTCCAGATACATCATGAGTCCCAGGGACAGGCACTGGGCAATCAAGCCTGATCGGATCAATGTTTCATGCAGCTCATGATCTCAGGAAGTGGCCAATTTGTCACATCTCTCTAGCATAAGTAGGGATGAGGCTAGCCAGAGAAGGGACATTACAGCATTGCTGGGGAGGGAACCATAAATTCTGACTGAGAAGGCCAGGGAAGGTTCTAGAGAGGAGCCGCCATCTGAGCTGGGTCTCAAAGTTGAACTTCAGATTAAGCACTAAGAAAAGCCAGAGAGGCCAAGAGAACAACTTAAAGTGAAGGCCTAAATGTTTTGAGTGGGCAATGGTGGGTTTTCTGATGGGCTGGGTTGGAATATGGGAGGACTTAGGTGCCCAGATTAGGGCTGAAAATGTGCTGTGTTCACTGGGGGGTTGGAGGGGAGGGGTGACAGAATCAGGAGCTGCGAAGCAGAGCTCAGGGGCAGAGACATGAGGTCTGGAGTCAGACAGGCCTGGCTCCACTTAGAAAACGTGATCTTGGGCAAGTTAATCAACTTTTTGTCTGAGTTTGCAAACTAGGACTATTACCAGTACCTTCCTTCCCTGGATCTGAGCACTAAAGGAGATAGTACGGGTAAAGTGCTTAACATAGTTGGCAGAGTAAAATGCTCAAGAGATATTAGATATTTTACCATGACTATTAAAAAGGAAGATGTTTTTGTAGTATATATGACCACACACCTACCTTTGTCCCCCAGACAAGATGAAAGGACCTCTCTCCCCCCCGCTAGGGGTAGGTAGAGGTTCTCAATGGGAGTGGGGGGGAGATTTCCACCCCCCATCCCCACCCCACCCCCATATACAAGGAGACCTTTGGCAATATCTGGAGACATTTTTGGTTGTCCCAACTGGCAGGGTGCATCTCGCATCTAGTGGGTAGGGGCCAGGGGGCTGCTAAACATCCTATAGTGCACAGAGGAGTCCCCACAACAAAAAATTACCTAGCACAAAATGTTCATAATACTGAGGATAGGAAAACCTGACCTAAGGAACCATACTTGGCCTTTATATAGCACCATAGCAGCTGGGAACCTGGCCTGAGGCCAAAGTACACTTATATCAAGAATAGCAGTCATGGCAGATGGTTTTATGCATTTATAAAATGGCACCTTTCTGGATTCTACATTTGTCAGAGTAAATATCAGGGTGAGTAAAAAACAAGACAATCCAACAGTATATAAGAAGAATATACCATGACCAAGTAGGATTTATTCCAGGTAAGCTAGGCTGGTTCAATATTCCAAAATAAATCAATGTAATTAATTCACCATATCAATAGGTAAAGAAAAAAATTGTATTATTTTATTAATTGATGCAGAAAAAGCATTTGAAAAAATTCAACACTCGTTCATGATTTTTTAAAAAATCTCTCAGTACAGGAATAAAGGAGAGCGTCTATAAAAATCCTATAGCTTACATCATACTTAAAGGTGAAAGACTGATGCTCTCCACCTAAGATCAGGGACAAGTCTAGAATGTTCACTGAAACCACTCTTTTTAACATAGTACTAGAAGCTCTAGCCATTGCAATAAGGCCAAAAAAAAAAAGTATGTACATTGGAAAGGAGAAATAAAACTATCTATTTGCAGACTACATGATTGTTTACATAGAAAATCCAAAAAAATCTAACCAGAAACCCATAGAACTACTATTGAGTGCAGAAGGGTCAGAAGATATAACATTAACACTCACAAATCAATTTCTATACACTACCAATGAACATGTGGAGACTGAAATTAAAAACACATTACCAATTACAATTGCTTCAAAGAAAATTAAAGACTTCAGCATAAATCTTAACAAAATGTTTACAAGATCTAATAAATGGCCAAAAAGGGAAAATAATGACAACATCAAATGCTGACGAGCATACAGAGAAACTATCATTTCCACATTACTGGTGGAAATGCAAAATGGTACAGTCATTTTGAAAAATGATTTGGAAGTTTCTTCTAAAACTAAAAATGGGCTTACCATACAACTGAGCAATTGCACCCTTGGGTATATATTCCAGAGAAATAAAAACTTATTTTCATGCAGAAACTTGTACATGAATATTCACAGCAGCTTTATTTGTAATAGCCAGACATGGAAACTATGCAGCTTTCTTTGCATGGTGACTGTTTAAACTAACTATGGTATATCCATGTCAGGGAATACAACTCAGCAAAAAAAAGGAACAAATAATTGACACAGGCAACAACTTGAATGATCCTCAAGGAAATTACACCTAGTGAAAAAAAGTAAACCAAATGGATACGAATAGCATAACTCAATTTATGTAACATTTGTGAAATAAGGTAAGAGATAAAGAACAGATTCACAGTTGCCAGGGTTTAGGGATGTGGGAGAGTGCAGGAGGTGAGTGTGTCTATAAAAGGGGTCGAGTTTTGTGGTGATGCTGGAGTTAATCATCTTGATTGTGGTGGAGGAAGTTATACATGTGACAAATTGCTTAGAGCTATACACATATACTTGTAGACACACAAATGCGTGCGTATGTAACTGGGGAAATCTGAATGAGCTCTATGGATTTTGCCAATGTCAATTTCTTGGTTTTAATAATGTGCTATAGTTATGTAATATGTCAACACAGGGAAACTTGGAGAAGGGTGCACTGGACCTCCCTATACATTTCTTCATACCTTCCTGTGAATCTATAATTACTTCAAAATAAGAAGTATAAAATTTCTTAAAAAGACTAAATTTTAAAAGAAGAAAAGTATTTGAATAAATACTTCATTTAAGAAGATAGACCACTGGCAAATAAGCCCAGGAAAAGATGTAGAACATCATTAGTCATTAGGCAAATGCAAGTTAAAACCATAATGAGGTACCACTACACACCCATTAAGACAGCTAAAATCAAAGAGACCACAATATAAAGTACTGGTGAGGATATGGAACTTTTATAAACTGTTGGTAGGAATCCAAAACAGCACAGCCACTTTGGAAAACAACTTTCCAATTTCTTATAAAGCTAGTGTATACTTACCATACAACCCCACAATTCCACTCTTAGGCATTTAACCAAGAGAAATAAAACATATGTTTACCTAAAAAGATCTGTACATGAATATTTATGGCAGCTTTATTCATAACAGCCAAAAGCTAAAAGCAATCCAAACATCCATCAACTGCTCAATAAATAAATTATGGTTCACCGGATGAAAGGTGAAAGAAAGTAAAGGGATTAAACAAAAAGACTACACACACACACACACACACACACACACACACACACACACACACACACACGCAGAAAGACACAGACAACAGAATGGTGACAGCCAGAGGGAAAGCGGAGTGAGAGGTAGGTGGAGGTTGGCAAAGGCGGGGAGAGGGTATGGGGACAGAAAGGGGCTTTGCTTGGGGTGATGGGGGCACAATGCAGTGTGCAAATGATGTTTATTGAGTTGTACACTTAATACTTGTATGGTTTTATGAACCAATGTCACCCTAATGAATTCAATTTTTAAATAAATAAACTATGGTTCATCCATACAATGGAATATTATTCAGCAAAAGGAAGAAACAAACTACTGATACATGTACCAACAAGGATGAATTGAAAAAGCCTTATGTTAAGTGAAAAAAGCCAGACAGAAAGGACTACATGCTTGATGGTTCAATTTATATGACATTCTAGAAAAGACAAAACTAAAGACAGAAAATCAGATCAAGGACCAAGGGCCAAGGGCCGAGTGGCATGGGGATGGGATTGACTGCAAAGGGGCACTAGCCAAAGGGGCACTAGGGAACTGTTGGGGTAAAGGAAACATTCTGCATCTTGATTAAAGTGGTGGTCAAATGACTGCATGCATTTGTCAAAACTCATCAAACTGTACACTTAAAAAAACAGGTAAATTTTATTATATGTAGATTATACCCTAATTTTTTCCAAAAAATGGTGGAGGGAAACTAATACCCAAGGGTCTAGCAAAGCACACTGATTAAAGACACACAGTTTCTTAGTTCAGGTCTATAACGGGCTGAGTCTAAGGAAGCCGGCCTACATAGTAAAGAGCCCCAGGTGTATCTATGGTCCAAATTCAGTTCACTGTCACTCGAGTTTATGCCTCCAGCAGTGCAGTGGGCTTACCATGATGGCCCTGGTTACCCGGAAGGAAGGGCATGAGCGGAATAAAAACTTGAAGAGGTAAACAATCTAAAAAATGTTTCTCTATACCAAGGAAGTAAGACACAATTATAATATACGCATAATCAAAAACCAAGTAAAACTGCTTCTGAGTCTTGGTTTTCTTCAATTCAGCTAATATTTTTAAAAAATGTTTTATAAGCCCTTCATTCCAGGCACCTTACAACATTGTAACCCTCTCAACAGTCCCTAAAGGAGACCACCCTCCTGAAGCTGCAACAAAGGCGGGGAGGGAGCCAGTACCTTGGGAAGCGTTGGGGATCTGGAATCACAGGGCTTGGGTGTTCTACCACTTGCTGGTTCGTAACTTGGAACAGTCACTGAATCTCTTTGACCGCTCCCCCCAGTTCCAGTAATAATATTGATAAGTGAAAATGATCATACTACATGCCCTACCATCCTCTCTTGGAAATATGTTATACTTTAACAGCGTTCCTTGAGGGCTCTGCTTTTCAACAAGTCTAATTCAGTAGCCAACAAAAATCGGTTTCAAATCATCTCAGAATCAGTAAGATGGTCTTGTTTTTCTTCTTAAATGTGACAAAAAGAAAAGGGAAGTCATCTTTTCCACTGCCTTGAAATCAATCCCCCATTTCAAGAAAATTGGGTGTTACGTCAGGGTTCCTCAGAGAAACAGAACCAGTAAGATGGAGATATACATACACATACATACATGTATACATAGAGGCAGAGAGGAGTCCAAGGAATTAATTGACTTATATGATTGTTGAGGCTGGTAAGTCGAAAATTCATAGGGCAGGCTGGTAAGTTGGAAACTCTTGGGCTGCAGTCTTGAGGCAGAATTTCTTCTTCCTCAGGGAAACCTGTTTTGTTCTTAAAGTCCTTCAACAATTGGATGAGGCTCACCCACATTTTGATGATATGATGATAATCTCTTTTATTTAAAGGAAACTGATTATAGATTTTAGCCATGTCTACAAAATACCTTAACAGAAACACCTAGGTTAGTGTTTGAATGAATAACTGTATTATTCAACACTATAGCCTAGTCACACTGATGCATAAAACTAACCATCGCCCGTGGTATGTGTGATCCTCTGATATGCACAGGAGGGTTGAGAATTCCTACTCAAGTTTTCAAGAGAAACAGGAGCAGACAGGAAGGGCAGGACTAACAGAAAAATTACTACCTGGCCCCATTTTTGGGAACTCTCAATTCCATAGATGGTTCTGTTGTTGACACTACTCCTCCAATGAGCTCTGTGAGATAATAAACTAGAAACAGCCCGGCCGGCATGGCTCAGAGGTTGAGCATCAACCTATGAACCAGGAGGTCACGGTTCGATTCCTGGTCAGGGTACATGCATGGGTTGTAGGTTTAGGGGGTGTGCAGGAGGCAGCCGATCAATGACTCTCTCATCATTGATGTTTCTGTCTCTCTCTCTCTCCCTCTCCCTTCCTTCCTCTGAAATCAATAAAAACATATTAAAAATAAAAATAAATAAACTAGAAATATTTTGACCTAACATCAAGTAAGGGGATCTGAGTGACATTAAAAAAAAAAAAAAATAAAGACAAAGATACAGGCCACAACCTTCAAAAATAAAAAATAAAATTCATTTATTGAACAGGAAAAGTTTAACACATGATCCATGTGCAGACCCAAAACAAGATCTTCTATGAGCTCCTGCATCCACATCTCTACACATACCATGTGGAACATACACTCATGCAGGCACACAACATACACACACAGTCCTGTGTGGTTATCAAGATCTGCTGGACGGTAGTTTTTCATACTCCTCTTATTCACACATCCACTGACACGTTTTACAAGTCACATAATTTTATCATTCACTAAAACAAAATAGCTTCCCCAGTATCACCTTGATTTAAACAAAAGAACATAGTTTATGACAGGCATCCTCCACCCTCATTGCCCCACCCCCACTCTGATAACCTCGTATCAGCACCATTTATGTCCCCTGGCCAAGGAATGACCCAGTGGTACAAAGGACAGGGAAGAAATACAATAAACTGATGCTGTCAGAGCAAAGCCTTACAGCCAGCAGGACTAATTGCCTAAAAGTATCGACCATGATTTCAAAGACAAACCACACTGTCTCCTCTTCCCCTAACAGTCTTGGAGATCTGTAATGTACTTGGGAAAATTAAATTCTAAGGCAGACTTGGAGCCAACTCCCTAATCACCAAGTCATGCCTGCTGTACTCTGTCTCCACTGTGAGGAGCCAGCTTTGTATTCTGACAGGGCCAGTGCTGGGGCCCGCTGACTAGCTACGAAATTAAACTCACTGGTACAATGCCCCCTGCTGTGAATAGTGAATACAGAGAGCTGTAGACAGACATGAACTGAGATGGTACACTTCCAAAAACACATAAGGAGAACATGTAGTGTTAAACAGAAGTGATATTCTACAATTTTGGGATAAATTGGAGGAGAAAAAAGCAAGACAGGAGTATGGGAGTAGGGGGAAGATTTCCCTAACATACCAGTTTGGTGGGATCATCACTTTAAGACAACTGCTAAAACTGCAAATTTTACCTTTCGTGAGGGTAGAAAGCAAGCAGTGAGCATCAGCCAATGAAGTTGGCTGGGGAGGTGAGGGACCAAGAGGGAGGGCATAAGCAGAAGGTTTTCAGCTGTAACCTGCCATACATTCACATATATCTGGCCAGGGTTTGTACAGATGAAGGTTTCCTAGCAGCTGGACAGCAGCACACTATAAATAATGCCACTTGTGAATGGTGACTTCACAAGTCACCATTCTAGGCAAATTGAATAGAAGATGCCAGGTCATGCTCTTCCCAGCAAGCACCTGCATTTAAGGGGAGGTACACTGCCGACAGGGAGCTGGAAACCAGCTCCCAATAGTGAGTGGCATTTGCAGGACAGAACAAGGGGCTCTGAGTAGCTACTTCTGAGTTAATAAAAATCTGGGGTTACATTGGGGAGGCTAGGGGAGGGACACAGAGCCTAACAGTACTGGGCCAGAAAATCCAGGATTTGCCTTTGGTTTGGCAGATGCAGCCTCACACTCCAGAAAGCCTTTGCTTTGCTGCTCCTGATCAGACTACTACTTATGCTGGAGCTTTTTTTCCAGGAAGGCACAGGAAGGGGCTGGCAGCTGGTTCCTACTGAGTGATGAGGAGAAACCAAGGGCTCCTGACTACAGAAGGCCCACAGGCAGCAGAAGAGGAAGCTTCCCTCAGCTGGCCTGGAGGGCTGGTTCCAGAAGGGGAGGGGCTCCCTCCCACTGCCATCCTCTGGCCGACCCTTTTACTCCACACCTAACTGCGGTGCAACTGCACAACCAGAAAGGCCCGCTGACTGGGTTCGCCTTGCTTGGCCTTCTGAAGCAGCCATGCAATCGGGCTGTTGAAGCAGAAGCACAGGGAAGAGATCAAACAGGGCGAAGGCCATGCCAAATCAGCTTCCAGAAGCCCCAAAGCTAGAGCTGCCTCTCCAATGCATCACATTCTCCAGGTTAAGGACCCTGAAGCAGTAGCCTGCATTTTGCTAAGACCTGGGGCTAGAAGACCTCTGTATTGTGCTATCCAGCCCTCAGGTCCCAAAATCACAGTCCCAGTATCACTGCCTACCTGAACAAGACTGCTTCTAGCAGCTCCCTGCATGCACAGAAGCCTCCACCGCTGAAGCTGCGGGAAGGAAACACGTCTGACCCCCTCAACTGGCACGCACCTTCTCCCTGAAAACAGCTCTCAGGACCACTGTGGGAAGGCTGCAGGAGCCCAGACTTGCAAATAGGAGATGACAATTCCTGAACCTACTTTGGTAATTTCTAAGCCTGAGGCTTCAGAGGGCAGGGCTGCTGCCACCTCCAGCTAGAATCTTGGTCAAATAAGCACCTGTTAGTAACCACCAAAGAGCAGAAACGGTGGATGAAAAGTGTCATTCACTAAGGGAAACCAAATAACCACCAATCACATCTTCCTAAGTTAATAAATTGTTAGGTAGCTTAGGAGTCACCGCAATGAGAGAGTTCGGCTTTGGAACAGAAAAGGGAGGAAAAAACTGGGGCTGTAAAGGTGGGTCACAGCCCTTATGAGCTTTGGTATAACACAAAAACAAAACCCGATAAAACTGTGCTGCTCTCCCAACTTTCAGGACGAACCATAGCTCCAGGTAAGTAAGCAAGAGCCTGGTGACAGGAGTGGAGAGCAGGACCCTACCACATATGCATAAACACACACAACATATACACAGCTCAGCTCAAGAAATGGAGAGTTAATGACTACTGCCCCTTTGAAAGACTTCTCGTACCAAGAGGGAAGAAGCGGCAGCCAAAAGCAAGGCAATGTGCCGTCCTCTGCCTTCTCTGCGGTCTGTTCCCAAAGCTGAAGGCTGACCTTGAGGTGGGCCAACCCTGAGGCTATTTCTGATACCCAGGGGGAGGGACAGGCATCACAATTAGTGTTTAGAACACAGGAGACCAAAATCCCAATCAAGTGGTTCCTTCAGAGTCCAGGTCATCGAGGCAGCCAGAAGAGGACACTGTGTCTGCCCTATCACCCGCTGACTGTGAACAGCCAAGCACCACACTTAGTGTCAGACCAGCATCTGTAAATTCTCTGCACTTAATATCACACTCTCTGTGCACAATGACCTCATCGTCTCAGCCATGGCAACAGTGTGGGTGTCTTCCTGGCATGACAACTGAATACTGCCATGCTATTTGCATGTCAGAAGCCAAGGCTCAAAAACAGGCCTGAACACACAAAGCAACCATTTTATAAGCCTCCCGTGGGCAGAAACATATCCCACTCGATCATCCTTTCCCTCGGCCTAGTGCACTGGCAAATATTTCCTGAGTCCTTCATATCTTCCCAATATGAAATCAGGCTGGTCGATGGGAGGCAAAGTCCATGCCTCCCCACAGAGGTACACATTTAGATGATCCTGATTAAAATCTTTGGGGTACTCAGCCACACGTGCTGAGGACCTAAGCAGACATTTCCTGCACCAAGTTCCTTTTCAGAAGGAGAAGCTGAGTACAAGTATAGTGATGAAGGGACGATTCACAATACTCCTGATCTAGTGAGTCTAAAAACAAACGCTAACTTTAAATAAATATAAATATTTTCAATTGAGGCAGCACTTGATATCTCTTGGGAGATACAGCAACTAATAATACAGTATTGTGACCCACACAAGGAATCAGAGAGGAGAAGGTGTTGCCCAGAATCACAGCAAGCCAGAGAGAGTAAAGATTAAAAACTCCAGCTTTGGGAGCTGGTTTTACACTACTAGGTAGATCCAGACACTTGCTGGAGACTTGAATAGGTAGGTAAATATTGAGGTAATATATTTGGGAGAGATATAAGAGATAGAACTAACTTTATAAAGAAGGGAAGTGCTCACTTATTTCATCTAGGCCTGGATCAGGAAAGGAGATGCTAAAAATTTTAAATAAAGTGAGTTGTGCAACAAGAATAATTTTGGAGAGGTGGGTCAGAGGAGAGAGGCAAGTAAGGGAGGAGGCATGATGAGGGAAAACAGTTGTAAAGTTTTGGGTTAAAATAAGTACAAATGAACAATGAAAGCACTGCCATTAAAGGTACCTCCTGCGTATCTGCTACCCACTCTCCCCCCTGCCCTCAGTCCTACCTGGCCCAGGGCACCTAAGCGCCAGGTAGTCGGGTTCCTGAATAGCAACCTTGCTTTTCCCCAGAGCCTGGACCCTCCCTGAGGCTCTGGGGTCAGGTGCTAGGGAACACACGGGGGTCAGGTGGGCAGGTGCAGGGGATGCACCCAGATGGCTATGCAAAGGCACTGGTGGAGTTGATAAAAATGGGAGCAATGCTTGGCTGTATCAGCTCAGCGAGAGCCACATACGTCCCCACTACAAAGCCCACGAAGCCCAGGATGCTGATCAGGGTGTCCTTGGCGATGGTGAGGGGGCTCATGCCCTCTGAGTAGTAGGTGGTGATCTCCAGGAGGGGCGGGATGATGAGGGCCAGGGCACTGCTGCTCACGGAGCCCACTAGGGAGATGACCAGGTCCAGGCGGGGGATGAGGATTGCCAAGATGCCTGTGGGAGAGAGGACACGGATATTCAAGACTGCCCAGAGCTGGAAAAGACTTCTTCCTGTTCTACTGGTTTAGCAAGTGTCCTTCTCATAGAATGGACAGCTCTAGGGAAACTTAGACATTATCTGGCTCAATCTTTCATTCCACAGATGAGAAAATAAATGCCCAGAGAGGTGGAGTAACCTGGGTCTTGCTGTAAGATTGGCAAACTGGGACTGGGACTGGGACCCATATCTCCTGGCTCCAGTCACCTAGTTTTCAGCTTTCCTGCTACCATACACCACTTCCATCTTCCCGAGGAAAAGGAACCAAATGACATTCCAGGGCAATCTGGTCCTCAAAGGAGACACAGTGTGGAGCAAAAAGGGAAATGGACCATTTCTGAGCAACTGCTCACTCTCTTGCCACTAAGGATACTTCCAACACAACCATCTCTATTTGACTGACAAGAAACAAAATAGGGGAAAAACCCTCCTTCGTCCAAATAATACCATGGTAAATCCCATTTCACAGAACATGGTCATATAGGGAAAGGAGTAGTAGTTTTGTGTGCAGGCTGACTGCATACACAATGACACGTCTCTGTGCCAGGACAAGCTAGTGAATGGCTCCCACACCTGAAACTCAGGCACGGGTGTATGTGAGGAAGGTGGAACTGAGGAAGAAGAACAAGGGCTGCATTAGGAAATGCCATTGGCTGCCATACCACACCAGTGATTACCACTGTCAAGCTGGTCGGACAGTACTGTTTAAAACCAAGGGGAGGCGGCTTCACTGACCACACTGATCCAGTGCCCATTGAACCCACTATTCCCATCTAACTCAGCTTTCCACTGGAAGTGAAGGCCAATGCTTCACAAATCTATAGAAGACTATGGAATTAGGCTCTTGTGTTTGAACCCTGGCTCTACCTGAGTGACGCTGGGGAAGTTCTGGCTCCTTTCTATTCTCCAGTTTTCTTGTGGGCAAAATGAGTATTGTAATAGCTCCTATGTCACAGAGATGCCAAGATGATCAAAGGAGGTTGGTTAAACAACACCTAACAAAAGGCCTGGTATACAACAGGCATGCGATACAGTTAACATTATCATCGTTAGCAGATATTCTGCTGCTCATGAAAAGGACATCCTTAACTCATTAGTAATCAAATGTATTTTCATGGATTGTCTTTCCCATTGCTGGCCAGGGCACATCTATTACCTCCCTGAGCCCTCACGAGAACTACATTTGCCATGGGGTTTTCAGTTCCAACTTCATAAAGCAAAAATGTAGTCAAAGGCATCACACTGGTGAGAGACTGTCAGAACATCTGTTCAGTGCAGCTGATTTTACCCTTCAGAAGGACTAAATCAATCAATTAATCACTGCCTCTCTGGCTGAGTATCAGACGAAAAGTCCTGGGTTTTATTTAGAGGCCAGGTTTTATGAGAAACCCTTACTTCTAAACTGAATACCACTTCCTACAGTAAGAGGAGAGGCCTGTAGGAACCAAGATTTATCAGGGGAGGAGCAGATTCACATCTCCTGCCTCACACAAACTCTGCAGCAGTGTGGTGGTCCAATACGTAGTCACTATTTAAGTTTAAATGAATTCAGTTCCTCATTCACACTGGCCACATTTCAAGGACTTACCAGCCACCTGTGCCTAGTGGCTACTCTCCTAGACAGCACAGACGGGGAATACTTCCATCATGGCAGAATGTCTACCCTAGTGACTTTCAACCTTGTTACCTCATGGCACACATAAATTAATTACTAAAATTCTGCAGCACACCAAAAAATATATTTTTTGTCCATCTACCAAAAAAATAGGTATAATTTTGATTCTTTCACACCAGATGGCTATTATTGTTTTGGCTGTTGTCATTTTTTATTTGACAACCTAACGGAGAAGAGGTCAGTGCCCCTGACTAAATAGTCAGGTATTGCATGTGTTAAAAATTCTTGCAGCACATAGGTTGAAAATCACTGGTTTAGTGTCTAGTAGACAGCACAGCACAGCATCTACTCATTAAGCTGAATTTGCCTCTACTCCAAGGGCATATAACTCCACAACATGATTATTGTCCCCATGGAAAGAGAGGCCCAGAGAGGTCACATTATATAAAGTGACAGAGCTGGGACTAGAATCCAGGACCTCAAGCCCCTGATACAGTCACATCATAGACCTTATGAGAAAGAAAGTACAAACTAATATACAGACCTGCAAAAGGAGGGAGAACAGGGGATCTGTCTGATCAGCAGAAAGATCCTGTCTGTGAAGAACTGGGAGTGTCAGATGTTGGGTTAGCTTTGCCCAGAAGGCACCACAGTGGTTTGGCAGAGAGTCTCACATATGGTCAGCCCTGATCTCTCTCTGCTTTGTGAAGGAAATAACAAAAGGGAGTACAGGAGTCCTGAGTCTCAGATCTGGCCCTGCCAGTGGTTTCATCACCCGGGGCAATCCTGTCCTCTTCTTCTAGCAATCAATCACAGTGGCAATTATCCATCAATACCTCCCCTGTTCTGAAGCCTTCAGAAAGTCTACAAAAAGTAGACTTTTTTAACAGACTATTTAACAATAGTCTGTTTTGGCCCTTAGCTATTTCCAAATAAACAGAGTTGGTGCCCTAGCCAGTTTGGCTCAGTGGTTAGAGCCGGCCGCACTGGGCTGTGGACTGAAGGGTCTCGGGTTAGATTCCCCGAAGGGCACGTGTACCGGTTACAGGCTTGATCCCCAGCTCCAGTCGGGCAGGGCACATGCAGGAGGCAACCAATTGATGTCTCTCTCACATTGATGTTTCTCTCTCTCTCCCCCTTCCACTCTCTCTGAAAAGCAATGGGAAAAATATCCTCAGGTGAGGATTAAAAAACATTCATACACAAAAACCAGAGTTGGTGATATTCCTCAAACTTTCAGGGTTGAATCTGGAGGAAAGTTGGAGGAAAAGTGTCTGTAGGCTGATGACAAAATGGCCTTCTCATCATGGATAACCTAATGCCCAACAAGAGCTGATCTGCTGTGCGCCCTGGAGTAAGACACCTGCCGTCTCTGGGGTCTGGGTTTCCATCTGCCCATACAGGAATGTGGTTGAGAGTTCAGGCTCCTTACCAGGGGTGGGGAACCATTTTTCTGCCTGCAAAATCATTTGGTCTGGCCCTGCCAAGGCAACTGCAGGCGGGACTCAAAATTCAATAAATTCAATTAAATATTTGACCAAATATAGCAGGCTAATTTTTAAGTTGATAACTTTGTATGGCAAGACAAGACCAAATGATTTCATGGGCTGTATATGGCTCACAGGCAGACGTTCCCCACCCCTGCTCTAGACTCAGAATGTAAGCTCCAATCCCAGGTTCACCACAAGCTGGTCAGTTACTTAACCTTTTTAAGACTCATTTTCCCTACTGCTAAATAGAGACGGTCAAATGTAAAGATCTTAGAGGATTAAGCACATAATGAATGCTTCATAAATGTTAGCTAATATAATTACCAGTCCCTGCTCAATAGCAGGCTGTGATCCAGGGTAAACTGGCTCACCATTCTGAGACTCAGTTTGTTTACCCATGAATTGGTGATTGTACTATACTGAATAATTGCTGAAGTCTCATCCAAGTCTGAATTATAAGGAACTATACAGTGCAGATTCAGTAACTTAGGAATGTGTTCTGGGATATGTACCTCAACTCACTGTCAGCTAGGAAGCACCATGTGCTGCTCAAGAGTGGCACAGCAGAGCAAGAGATGGGACTCCTCTCCTCAAACACATGGTTGTGCCAAAACATAGCTTCTAGCCCACCTGGTTTTTGTACTACTTAAGGGAGTGTGAGTAATTCCTCTGGTGCCAGCCCCTGGTCTCCATGGCTATTCCAGCCTGCTCAAGAGAAAGGAGGCCTTTATGAGGGACAGTGAGCCCCAGAAGGAGACAAGACAGATGATCTGCGTGGCCCCTCCCAGCTCCAAAAGTCTGTCATTTCCTCTCCATCTTTCACATTAACCTGAAGGACAGATGGACACTCACGATATGAGTGTGAAGTCAGATGTGCTCCATCTACACTGAGATAAGAATGAAGTGGAAACAGAAACAGAAGCTTGTGTGATCAGAATCTTTTCTCAGATTTGACAGAGATGTTCCACTTCATTATATTTTAAAAGCAATCTAAAAATGTTTTTATTTTTACTACAAAGGGTATACAACATAAGCATACTTAGCAAAAATATCCTTAATAGAGATTTTTTAAACAGGCAACATTTTTCTCTTAAAGCCAGGACCACATGGCTGCAAAAGAAGACCCTCTTCCTAGATGGACCATATACTACATCTGGACCCTAAATAAAGCCTGACATTGGAGAAAGATAATGGGGGGAGACGGCAAAAAGAGCGAGCTTCCCACTAATATGGGGGAAGAAAAAGAGAAGCGGACACAAATTAGCATAAAAGCCCCAAGGGCTCAACAGCAGGGATATCTGTTTTGCCACCATGCAAAATGTGGCAAACTAGTTTTAACTAATTCCAGAGGTAAGAATCAGGTACTCAGGAAAAATATGGGAGCAACTAAAACCTTTAAATGTCTTTATGAGTTAAAGCCCTTTAGAAAGAGAAACACAAGAAGGTAGAGATCTCAGGGAGCAGCCAACTGGGAATATCCTCTCCCCACTCTCTCCACACTCCCTAACAAAAGAACATGCCATAAAAGAGGAAGACAGCAGACTCCCAACTGGCAGGTCCACAGCCCTCTACAGCACCTTAGCTGTGGCATGTACAGAAAGCAGGGGCCGAGGAAAACTCAGCTGGACCACATGATTAGTTAAGAGGCTCCAATGGTATTACAAAACATCTTTCCTTTGGGTTAAAAGAGTACAAACATGATCTTTTAACGGCTGAAGGAACATGAGGCAAATGGCCACGTTCAGAGAAGGAACTGATTAGGATTCTGGAGTCTGTGGTTTTAGACCAGCAACAGAAAGAGCTGACTAATGCACAAGAGAAGAAAGTACTTAAGAGAACAAACACACACTAAACAGAAATATGATATAAACTCATATCCCAACTGGATACTTACAGCTCTGGTGTCTGGAAGCTCTTTCTGCTGTTTTATTATGATTGATGCTGGGAAAGCTCACCTGTGTTACTCTTAAATGTCTAGAAATCTACCTTTAAATTAATTAGACTCTTAGAATATATAATTTCATTTAGTGGGGGTATAAATTTTTAAAAGTACAAAAGCACAGGAAACAACCTACATGTCCAACACTAAAGGAGTAGTTTAGTAAATACAGTCCACCAATATAATGGAATATATCACACAGTCATGAAAATATTTATGAAAGATATGTATATTCATTATATAATATAAAATAAAATGCAAAAGACAAAGTTATGTGTATACTATGATTGAAACTATTTTTAAAATGCACCCATGAGGGTTAACACAGAAGACAAAACACAAAAGAAAATTATTTTGTTAAATCAGTGGGATATTGGAAATTTCTTCTTCAATAACCTCAGACCTAGACATTCTCCAAATATCTTTACATTAACTTTCTTTTTTCAAGCAATATTTTGGTCAAAATCTAAAATCAGGCTCAAAGTAGTTCTGCAGAATCACAGAGGTTTAAACTTGAGAGAAACCTTAGTGATCGGATACCCTTCACATCTTACAGTTGCAGAAACTAAAATCTCATGAGGGTTCCTGGGGCTGGGGCACAGGTACAGCTAATTTATGCTGCTACCCCTCTTCATTTAGCTGCAAGACCGAGAAGTGTGAAAGGCCAAAAGGTGCTAAGAAGCCACTCTGTTTGTACCTGGAAGCTTTGTGCTCTAAAGGGTCTGGCTGCTGGAATGTTTTATAGCATTCTGGTCTGAACAGGCCTCTCAGTCGATGTGGTTTTATGTTATTACATCTTCAACAATAGGTTTCTGAAATTCTCATAGCTAACTGAAGTGAAATGTTTCACATGGCAAATGCCACAATTAGTACCAACCACTGAAGGCCAGGTTAGTGTCTCATGTAATCCTGAGAAACTATTCTTCCTGCAGCCTCTTCCAGCCTCTCCTTCTACACAAGCTCTGGACATAAGGTGACTGCGGAGTTGACATTTCTAAACATATGGGCTGGAAGCAAATACTGTTCCATATGAAATCATAACAAAATGAGCACCATTCTCTGACATGCTTATTTTTCCAGCCCCTCCTCCCCAGAAGTCTGAAATTTAGCATCAAAAGTAGACAGAGCAATCTTTGGGGGTAGAGGAGAGCGGTGAGAAAGTTCAATTCCAATTGGGGAGAAAAAATTGAGGCTGGACCAAATTGCCCTGCTCCCCTTGGCGATGAAGAATGAGGAAGAAGAGGAAAAACTGGAGAAAAGACAAGAAAATACCAGAAATAAAAATAAAACAAGCTGCCATTGAAATTTATGGGTATAATTAAAAACAATGAGTTATATCAAAACTCTAAAATCACATACCAATTAACCTTGTGTAAGATCTGAAAGTACAAAGAAACAAAAACAAAATGAACTCACATAAATACATTTAAATTGGTACTACAGTAAAAGGCTTCTCCCGAATCCCACAATTACTTCAGAGTCTCCAGGGAAGGTTAGAGAAGCCAGAGTGCTCAGAGATGAAGGGGCTGCGCCCCTTAATAGGCTGACAATGCAATGCTAAGTCACAAGAGATCAGACGGGGGGAAAAAACAACTGAACCCGCTTAAAAGATCAAAAGCAGCTCGAGTCCTTTGAGCATGATGCTGTAGAAGATAGGTGAGACCCACAGACAGAACCAGGAAAATTTAAGCAAAAACCAAGAGGCATCTAAGGACAGCATGAGGTCTGTGAATCAGAGCTTGGTGGCTCCTGTAGGGGAGCAGCGGAAAGAAAGCTGGCAGGAAGCAAGACATATGCTACTGGAGGCTAAAGCCAGACTTGAGGAGGAAATGAGGCAGAGACAGGAATCAGGTCCAGCATCACTGCCCCAGATCTTCGGTCAGGGAGAAGCTGCTATATAGGCAGTGACAGCACATTTCACCTAGACAGACCTAGTTTTTCTAGAGGAACCACTCTGAAACAAAGCTGATTACATGAACTATCCCCACCCTTTCTCCCAATGCCTGTTGGATCCAAGATTTGGGGCCCTGAGAACTGACATTATAAACACCTGCATGTGGAATCCATGTCCTCAATACTGAAGGCTAATCCATTCACAGAACATCATACATATCTGAATCAAAGCATCCAGAGTTGCTGGCAGAAGACGGGTAAAATCTGGAGTCCAACTATCCTATCAGCACGCATTAAGGCAATTTACTAGAAAAGCAAAATATATCACCTTTCTTCCTTTGCAGTAGCTCTGGGCCAGCAGTGACCTGTGGGCTGCCCTGGATTAGCTGCTGAGTATTTATAGAGCTGGACTAGAAAGAGACTGAAGGTCTACCAAATAAAGGCTATAAGGAGAAGTCAGATTCTTGGTTGCCATCAAGTTCTCCTGCGCCTGGAAAAATCAAGGTGTCCACCCTCTGCCCGGCTCCTACCCAGCACCACCCAGATATAAATCCTCAGGAGTGCTGCCCAAGATTAAATCAGAAAGTCATGGAAAGGCCTTTAGTTCCTTACTCCAGTGAGTTCTTTCCACACAGATACCCAGAATGGTAAACTTCCACCCACTATCCTTGAAGTAATATAAAAAAGAACTATAGGTGCCTTGAGGAGGTCCACTCTGGGACAGGCACTAGGCTATTCCCTTGAGGAGGTCCATTCTGGGACAGGCACTACTAGTCTGTTCACTATATTTTGCTTAGGTGGTTGAAGAGGATGGATAGTCTCTTGCCTGCCCTTCTCTTGCTAACAGGCAACCAATAAAATCATTTTTTATTTCCCACACTATGAGTGAAAGCCAGACAACATTCATGTATTTCATCCCTAAATGCTCAATCCTGGTTCAATTAAAAAATCATAGAGACCTGTATTTATTCCAAAGACAGAATGAATAATAAGAAAATTTCTGGGGCAGTCTCAATGTACTAAGAAAGACATCTTGTCCCCAAAGACTAAAAATTTTAAAAATAAAATAAAAAGCCAAACATGGCCTAAAGAGAAATATATGATTCAAGTACTTCAATTTGGAAAGCAATTGCAAATCTCCTAGTAATTTAAATTAAATAGTATAGATCAATTCGTTGGGGTTCTCTTCTGTATCAAACGTTTACCTGTTTCAACCAACAGCAAACAGGGTGACATTTTGTCTCTTAATTCACACCCCTGGGCATGTGGTCCAGGGAAGAGGAATAAAACACAAAGTGATAAACACCTGATTAACTGACAGACCGACATCCAAAAATGTCTAGCAAAGTATCACGCAGCTGAAAGAAATCTAAGGAACACTGCAAAACTGATTATCTGAAAAAACAAATAAACATGTACCCACTATCAAAGTAATGTGTACTCATTACCAATATGGTTAATTGGCTCTCTTTTAGGCTTTTACTGTATTTTATATGGAATAATAATTATACATCTTTACTATGACTTTTGACCACCTCTGTAGCATTTCACGCCATATTGACAAATAAATGACAGTCCCTATTCCCATGACCTGTAGAATACATATGTCATCAATTCACCTCACTATCTGGACACACCTCAACTCTGAAACAGAGAGCGTGCCAAACTTCCTGTTCACCCAGTCCAGCAATTTCACAGCAATGCGAGCTCTCCCTCGTGAAAGCCCTGGAGACTGGGTGCCCTTGGGAAAAAACAAACAAGGGAGTGCTCCTGTGTTCTACTCACATGTCAGGCAGACCAGTATGGTTCGCACTAACAGGTCCACCGCCAGCTCCCAATGCTCTGACACGCGGGACACAAAGAAGGGGATGATGATCTCGGCTGGGACGAAGAACTGGATGGCGTAGGTGAAGAAGATGCCAATGGAGTACAGCAGCTTCACCGACTGGTACAGCCTGCGGAGAGAGCACAGATACATTCAAAAGCTATTCTGCGCACTCATATGCTAGCAGGAATAGTGCAAAATGGTCCTGTCCCACTGTGATTTGGCCATATCTATCCAAGCTACAAATGGATGTGCCCTTTGGACCCAGCAATTTCACAGCTAACAATTTATCTTGCAGATATATTTGCACATGTGCACAAAAACTTACATTCAAAATGTGTCATTGCAGCATTATTTAAGTATGAAAGACTGAAAACAGCTGAAATGTTAATCAGTGGGGAACTGGTTAAATAAATCATGGTGTCCCCATATAGCAATTAAAAAGTATGAGGCAGAACTCTAAGTGTTGACATGGAATTAGCTTTATGATATTCTATTAAGTGAAAAAATCATGAAGCAGTACAGTGTCTATAGTGTGCTACAATTTGTTTTAAAAAGAGCCCTGGCCGGTTTGGCTCAGTGGGTTGGGTGTCATCCCATGTACTGAAAGGTTGCCAGTTCAATTCCTGGTCAGGACACATGCCCGGGGTTGCATGCTGGATCCCCGGTAAGGTGTGTGCAGGAGGCAGCCAGTCAATTCTCTCTCCCCCTCCCCTCCTCTCTCAAAATTAAATAAATAAATAAATAAATAAATAAAAAGAGAAAAACCATCCCCCCAACACATACACATATATGTGACACTTACATCCATGAAACATCTCCAGAAGGAAACACAAGAAACTGGTTAGTATGGTTGTCTCTGAAATGGAAAACTGTAGAACTGGGGACTACAAGTGAGTGGGGATTACACATTTTCTGTATACCCTTCAAACATTTAGAATCTTTACCAGGGGCATATATCCTTTCAAAAATAAAAACAATTAAAAATACAATTAAATGTAACAAGTCTCTTTATTTATATCCTCCCATCCAATTCAGAGCTCCCTAGAATCAAATGGTGACCATGCAGGACCAAGAGGTAGGAGCAGAATCCATCTTTCCACCTGACCACAGCAGTCTTCCTACCACTGCTTCATGTGTAGCTTCTCAAGAAGACCATTAACTCACCATGAGATACCTCTATCTATCCCATGCCTAGGACTATGCAGAGTAGAAAAAGTCTTTAAGTACTTGTGGATCTCACAGGATCATTAAAGGGAAGACCACCCGGCCCCTAAGCAAAATTCCACATCAAACAAGACCCTGATGCAGTAAGCACAGAGAAACACTGACCTCCCTCCCTTGCTGGAAACCTATTTAAAAGTGGTGATTATATTGTGTATAATGTGCAATGAATTTCTTGGTGGTTGAACTTAATACCTAGAAGATGTTCTTATGCTAGAAGCACGAAAACACTCCGAGAGAGAATGAGTTTGACTAAAGGTCTTACTTGATCCAAGAATAGATCATAAAAACTCTTTGGAAAAATCAGCTGGTGGCTCTATAATTAAGCTCAGCGCAGCACCAAAGCCTGCTGGAATACAAGGGAAGTCCGTAATCAAGATAGTCACCTGCAGGGATGGCCAAATAAATTGCACCTGAATGGAGGCAGAAAGATTAGAATAGCTGGGTTTGAAATATCAGAAGACAGATGCTCATCTATGGCTTTAGATTATGTGAGCTGAGTCTGCTGCTCCTGATCCATTTATCTTGTTATGCCAAGCTACCATCTGATTCTTGATAGGGCAAGAACATTTGGAAATTTAAAAGCAGGCATCATAGGGCTAGAGAAAGAAAGAGTTTCTAAAAACAGTGACCCATTTCAGGGCTATCACTTGGCTGGACACACAACAAACTTAGCCTCCAGACTGCTGCTGGCTAGGGTGTCCTTGCTAATCACTGACAACACTACCGAATAAACATTTTCTCAGTTTTCGCAGCTGGTCTTTGCACAGTGCTTCACCAATCAGAGATCTAAAAAACACACAGGCAGATCAACCAGCCAGCCCAAAAGGTTATTCTGATCAGAAGCATCTGTGTCTGCTCAGAGCTGCTCTCCACAATGACATTTTAATCTACAAAATAGAATTGTTGCTTAGGACATACCCTGTGACATCTACCTTTTTAGGAAGCATTCAATGTGTTTCAGGGTTTCCCTATAATAAAGCAACCAAGAGTTAAGGAAAATGAGATATAGATGGGCTCCCAACAACCCCTGGTCCACAGTGAGAATCCTCCATGTGCATATCAAGTGAGTGACTGCACAAGAGAGGCACAGCAGAGAGTGGGAGCTAAACAGATGTGCCCTCCCTTCCCCTCTATTTGGCATGGTTTAAGGTAAATGAACTAGATACTTGGCCCTTCTAGGCTCAGATTTCCAGGGAGAAATGATATATCAGTCAGCTGATCAACCAATCCATTCAGGATATGCCTCCATTGGAATTACTCATCCAAACAAAGAATAGAGCTCAGGGCAGCATCCTACTTCTCTATCACACTGGTAAACTATTACAAAGCTTTTTCTCACACATATCATTTGATCTTCATGGGAATTCTGGCAGGAAGAAATGACTACTCCTTGTTGCCAAAAAGTGAGAACCGAGGCAAGAAGCTGTGATTTGCCCAAGGCCACAGAGCTAGGACACGGCAGATGACCTCTGTCCTCTATGCCCCAGTTGCTTCCTGATAACATCTCATTTAGAAAATGCCTGTCTCAGCATTTATTCCTCACTTTTATTCAAAAATCATTCACTGGGTGATGATTACACTGGGAGCTAGGATAGAATGGAGAACTGGATGGTTGTTGTCCTCACAGAGCTTACAGTGCAGGGAGATCACAATACAGGTAAACAAACAATTGCAACACAATGGAATGAAAATTAGTATAGGATCCTAATGGGATCCTATGGGAGCAGAGAAAAGGGGCATCTCGCTGAGACTTGAAGTTGCGGCCAGAAAGATATCAGAGAGTTTCTCAAAAAAAAAGACTCCTAGACCAAGTGGGAATTAGGTGGGAGTGGGACTAGAGCCTAAATGTTCCTGAGGCACATTAAGAGGGCAAAGGGAAGTCTTTAAGGAGTTCTCAACAAGGGAATATATGATTACACTGTTAGGCAGCTCACGCAGGTAACAAGGGGGAGCACATATCTGGAGAAAGATTAAGACTCAGGCAGGGCGATGGGTCAAAAGCCTTGGTGGGCAGCCACAGATGGTTGGTGCTGGACTGGGGGTGGTGGCAGTGGTGGGCTAAAGTGAAGCGAGCTGACTTAAGAGATAAGTAGGAGAAAGAATTGACATTCTAACCTATTACAGTAATTTTAAAAAATATCTAGTACTCCCAGGTTTCAATCCTCCCCCACATACCAGCAGTTGGGCAAGTTGAGGGTGATACTGCCTTGAATATCAGCTCCAAATTGCAGGTACCCCAGACACCCCAGGCTGATGTAGAGGGTAGTAACGATGGCCATTCCCACATACAGAATGACTGAAAATTTCCCGGGATCCTTCATTTTGTTTTCAAGGGGCAGAACCTATGAGAGTAGTGAGAGAGAAGAGAAAGCACAGCGAAGAACAACATTAATGGCCAAGAAAAAAATGTAATACTCTCATAAAAAAGTAATTTCTTTATCCTTAGACTTCCCCAAAGGCACATTCATCCTTTATTAGATAACCAAATAATGCAAGTTGTTTTCTCAGTTCTCCTCGCAGGACTTGAGACCTAGAGCCCACTGTCTCAACCAGGAAGTCCTGAGAGGTTAAGGTGGGAGGACTGGAACCCAGGAGTCCTGGTCCAGGCTAGCACTCTGCCTCCTGCTATGAGATCCCTGTAGGCTGGGAGTTCTCTCTGCCCCTTGAATGCAGCCACCTGGCAACTAGCAGGCCATTTTGCATCATGCACACCTGGAACAGCCGGTGGTGGCACAGGTCAGCTGTACCTCACCTGAGATCACAGCTTTGCTAACCCGTCCAAAGAATGCAGCACATAGGTCAGGGAAAACTGCCACTCTAGTCCACAGAAATGGTTTCCTTAACTCAAAAGGGGTAGGCACCAGCAGTGACAAGTCAAACCTCCAAGTTAGAGAAACTGAGGTCCTGGGAGTGGCATGACTTAATTAATAGAGGATCTTGCATATTCAGGATCTCAAAGATGTATAACAAAACCCAGTTTCCAGACTATTTCAAAAACTGACCCTGGCCATCTCCTCCCTCACAGTTGAGGACATTCTTTAACCTTCACTAAAGCAAAGATTAGGAAAATTGGTTCACTTAGGAACAAGGAAGGCAGCAGGTATGACTGACAATCTTCACAATCTGCCATCAACTGCTTCTGGCATGACTATCAAGGAAAAGCAACTCAGGACAATGACAACAAACTATCTTTGACCTTGTCATTATACTCATTTGCTTCCAGTGCCTGTGGCCATGAGGCAGAGCAGGTCTATGCCAGACACACCCCAGCAGAAACAATAAGCCAAAGCCCGGTGCTCTGAGGGGAACCACAACTCTGCATTTCCAACTGGCCTTCAGCAACCCCCAGGCCACCAGCTCAAGGGTCTCAAGCTACAGTTGATCCATATCCAATAAGAGTCAGTTTCTAAGCCTTCATTCGGTTTCCTCCCATGGAGAATCTAAAGAGACAGGCAGGGAGCCCCTCTCCTCCATGTCCGCCAGGCCTGGGCCAGCAGTGCAAACACGGAGAGAGCACAGTGAACAGAGAGCAGTGGCACTTTACCCAGATATGCTCAACAACCCACAAATCCAAACTAAGAGCATAATAGCAGTGTTCTCTCTATTGTAAAAATAGAAAACAGAAAAATATTGAATAGAAGATCATAATTACAATATGACCCCGTATTCAAGCCTTAGCTAATGAAAAGAAGCAAAGAATAACTTCTGCACTGTGTTGTTAGGGAAAACTGATAAAGTCAGTACAATGCTCCTTGAGAAGCAGGATCTCCAGGCATCTTTCAACATTTACTCAGCCTCTTCTATCCAGTCCTGAGTACTTGGGACCTCTTTCTCACTGCTGCAATACGGGTCCATTCAGGCGTCTGCCCCAGCAGCAGAGAAGCCACTGGTGTTTGTGAATCAAGGTGAGACATTCTTCCTGGGTGATGAGAAGCCCCAAGAACACAGGAAAGGTTTAAAACCTCAGGACAACAACCTATACACAATCACTCAAAAAGCCTCCCCCATGATGTAAGAGCCTTCACACAGTCCATCAACACTATGGGGTGGGGACAATTCCTATTTTGACAAAAATCTGTCAGGCTTCTAGGTTTTCTTAAAAGCATATAACATGGTAGGGAAATCAAGTGGGGGCAAAAAAGAAATTCTATAAAAGGAGAAGTGCCTTCTCATTTCCTAAGCCCTTGGCCAGGACAGCTAATAATTTTTTTCAGAGAAGAATTCTGTACCTTTATTATGAAAAATACAAATAAAAATCAAATTAGGTACAAACGAGTGGCAGATTCCTCTCTTTAGGAGAATTTGGTGAAATCATAGCAACGATGAGGAGAAGCTGAGCTAGGTGTGAAAGCTATTCATTCACACAAAGAAAATGCGGCACACCAATGATCCAGAGCAGGGAAATTATTCGTATGTTTATTGATTTAATAATAAATTAATAGTATTATTAATAAAAATAAAAATTATTTAATGCTCATATGTCAGGGACTGTGCGAAGCACTTTACACATATCTTATTTAATCCTAACAATTACTAATTATTAAAATCACTTTTCAGAGGCAAACAGTGAAGGCTCAGAGAGGTTAAGTCCTTGTACAAGGTCACACAGCTACTCTTTGGCAGGAAGACTCACCCAAATCAGTCTGACTCCAGAGCCTGGATTCCTAATTATGATGTACTATTGCTTACTGCACATACAGAAGATGGGTATGCAAAAGAGCTGGTTTGAATGTAAGCATTCTCAAATTACATACAATTTATTTTTAAAAGTTGGAGCTGAATCACCAGCTGGCCATTAAGTCTCAGAAGATCATTTCCAATAGTGCCTCCTCAGCATTCCTTAAAGCAGACCTCAAGGACACCCATGGCACCAGAGAATCACAGTGCATCTCTTACCATCCCGATACCTTCAAATGCAAAAATGGCCGTGCCAAAGAACAGAGGGAAAGTCTTCCAGGATGCCACCAAGGGGAGGCGGCTGGGGTCTGGGATCCTCTGAAAGAGAGAAAACAAAACAAAGTAAAGACTATACATACAGAGCTTCGAGATTTGAATCCAAACATCAGACAGATCATACTTCTCCTAAATCCTAGATTCTCTGAAGGGAGAAAGTCTGACACCTGACAGATGACTGGGGGACATTTAGCCTGTGCACATTTTTCCCTTCAGGCTGAGAAAACCCACTTGATTCGGGAAGGACTAGCCCAACATACCATAAGAAACTCAAATGTTGAAGCTTGCATAAAAATAGTCACGTTTTTCCCTAGGTAATCCCATCCCTAGAAATTTAATCCAAGTAGAAAAAACAATCAGAACATTAAAAAATTTGAGCCCTAGACGGTTTGGCTCTGGTTAGAGTGGTGGCCCATGGACTGAAGGGTCCCTGGGTTAGATTCCCGTCAAGGGCGCGTACCCCAGTTGCAGGCTGGATCCCCGGCCCCAGTCAGGGTGCATGCAGGAGGGAGGCAACCAATCGATGTGTCTCTATCACATTGATTTTTTCTTCTCTCTCTCTCCCTTCCACTCTCTCTAAAAAAATCAATGACAAAAAATATCCTCGGGTGAGGATTAAAAAAAAACATGTTGAACACTATTTATTAGTAACTAAAAACAATCTAAATATTCTCAAACAAATGAACATTTAGTTTACTTACATCAACTATACCCCAGAATATCATGCACTATTTAAAAAGCAAAAACTAAGATAACTAAAAGTAGCACAGGAAAAACTGCCTATGAAATAATAGTAAAAAAATAAAATTTAAATTTATATATTCACTATCATACAACTACATAAACACTCCACAAAGATAAAGCTGGAAGGGAAGATGGTAAATTTTTAAGGTGCATTTTTTTTCTACTTTTCTTCGTTTTTAAAAAAATTCTTATGAATAAGTTTGAGTACTTGGAAAATATTGACAGACACATAACAGGAATGTTGAAACATTTGCGGCAGGGGGAAATAGCAAAAAGAGCATTTAAAAAATAGGCAAATAAAAACCAAGGCAATTGTCAACTGCAGGTACAATGTAAGGATGTACAAGCAAGGAGGTGTAGACGCAGAATCCTACTGGCTCACCACTGGACAGTAGTACCCAGTAATAGCACCAAAGGAGCAGGATGCAGAGTGGGGCAAAAGCTGCCATCCTTTTAGAATTTGGCTTTTTAAATCATGTGTGTACATTGCTTAGATTAAAATAAGAATTGACTTTACAACTGCCTTTTACAATGTTTTAAAAATGATTTAATTATATAGGCACTTAGATAAATATGGGGCATGTTCTAACAGTGTAACAGAATAATATTAATCTCTGTAATAGGTTTCTCTTTGAAAGCTTTCAAGGGAAGTATCCTATGGTCTTCCTAAAACATAAAGCATTTTTAAAACTTTTTTTTTTGAGCCACTGCTAAGAAATCAGATGTCTTCACAGGAAGCATTTCAGTAACTAGAATGAATACAAGCAATAAATCTTTTTGCTCTACAATGAGACAAGAGAATGAGAGTGCCCTGTAATTATTCCTGAGTGACAGTGTAACTTAAGTTCCTGGAAATAGGAGCGATCTGTCTGTTAGGGGATGACTACTGCTCAGGTTCATACATCAGATCAGGTTGTATCTGAAAGGGAATTTCAGAATTCATGTCTGGGGACACCGGTATGAATGAGACCAGCAAAAGGAATTAAAAATTCTACATACTTAATCATTGCTACTGACTTATAACCCAACCATCTAAATGAAAAAAGTTTAATATGCAAAGAAACATACAAATTAAAATCAGCTCACTATCAACATATTATCTCCTCAATTCTACACTACTATCAATTATAATAACAGCTTTTTGAGAAAGTGCTGTTAAATGTATGTAAGGATTGCAAGATGTACTCCAATTTTGGAAACATTATAAGCGTGAAAAAAATGCACCTCAGAATTAAGGATATGCAATGATAAAATATTTATTGGGAGTCTCATGTGGGCAAGGCATTGTGCTCAGAACCGTGCTGCCATCCATTTGTTCCAGAAAAACCTGCCCAGGTGGAAGACCTCGGTCAGCTTCCTATGATGACATGTGCATGAGGGCAAGAGCACCAGTCACATACATGCTCAGGATTAGGTAAAAATTCAAAACATCAAACAGCAGGGGAATCCTATGGTAAACAGAGCAAAATGCCAAGACAGCAGCAAAAGCAACAAAAACCCAGAGGGAACATCTTTAGCAATGTGCCACATCAAAATGAAGTTGCTCAGCACAGCCGAACCAGCATTCTCCCAGCTGCACCCAGGGCAGATAGCACTACTTGACCACAACACACCTCCTGGCTGAGCCCAGAGGCAGGCTCAGAATTGCTCTCAAGAAATCAGCAGGACTGCCTCACCCAAAAGTGCAGGTTGTACTATGCACAGACTATGCTCTACAGCTAGAAAGACACTTCCTGCAGCTGGGACTGAGATGCTATCACAACTCATATTCCCATCCCAGCCCTCTGATCATGGCAACAACCACAGTCCAACTACCTGCACTGGTTTATAATTAAATGCAGTATGTGTATCACTCGCCTCATCTTTCATGTCCACTACAGTGTTTCCTAGGCACTGATTGAAATCTCTAACTACAAAGTTAAATCAAGAATTTATTTACCCTTCTCTGTTTTAACTTAATTTACCAGAGGGGGGGGGACTCTCTGGAAATGATCCATCCTGCATTCATAGGCCCTCCTTCCAGTTTCATAATAAAATGGGACATAGACAGCTGTTTATGTTTTAAACAATAATTCTGCAGAAGAGCCAGTATCTGCCATCCATCTGACTTACTAGGACAATAAAAAAACAGTAAATGCTCACTAAATACAATCTAAATTCATTGTCATTTCTTCCATACAGGAAGTCCCTACTTTTTATGACGCACTGTTTTCCTAGAAACCACACCAGTAGATAACTGTGTGAAAATGAGGTAAAGTTCACCTGTCAGATGACCATAATTAAGAAAATATCAGTGTTGGCTAGGATGGGAAACTTATGTACTCCCTTAGAAGAAAGTCTATATGAAATCGGTAAATCATTTTTAGAAAAAGCAACTTGGCAATATAAAAATTTCAAAAGTGCAAGCTCTTCAGCAATTGCACTCCTAGATAAATATCTTGGAAAAGTATATACATGTCCACAAAAGGGAAGGCACAAGAAAATGCATTGTCATACTGAAATAATAATAAAGATTATAAATGACCTGATAGTCCACTAACTGGGGACTGGTTAAATAAATTAAGGCACATTTATTCTCTGAAATACTATGTAGAAATTTAAAAGAATGAGGTAAAACCAGGGGTATCAATGTGGAAAGCTCTATGAGGCACCATGGAGGGAAAAAACCCAAAGCAGACAAAAACTACATATAATGATCTTTTTAATTATGTTAAAAATATACATGTATTTTTTTGTTTTATATATTTCTGTACATGCTTATATAGTGTGTAATGCACTCATAGGACCTATAAGGAGACAGTTAATCACACCCAGGGTACCTGAGTGGAGGAGACTCAGGGTGGGGATGTAATGTTCAACAGGCATTTGTGTTGTCTGCACTTTAATGAGTATGTATTGATGAGTTATTGGGGAAATTAATTTTTTTTAAAAGAATAGTTTATTGTTTTAGAGAGAGAGGAAGGGAGAAGAGAGAAACATCCATGTGAGAGGGTAGCATCGATTAGCTGCCTCCTGCACACTCCCTACTTGGGATTCAGCCCACAACACAGGCATATGCCCTAACCGGGAAGGGAACCTATAACCTCTCAGTGCACAGGACAATGCCCAACCAACTCAGCCACGCCAGCCAGGGGGGGCGGAAATAAATTTTAAATGCTTTTTTTTTAAGTTATGCTTTTATTCCCCTGCTGTCACTCTTTCCCTTTTCGCAAGTTTTGGCAAAATGCAATGTATTGCCCACAAATAGCCAGTGTTTAAGGGCACATTTTTCTCAGCCTGATCTTCTACCCATCTATATACAAATGTCCTCTTGTGTACTACCCCACATGTGGGAGGGGGAACAATAACTGGATTTATAATTTGGACAAATAAATATAAAACTGGAGTGGTAAGGAATTATTTTATCTAAATATAGGTTAGAAGAATTGGTTTTTATTTTTATCTTAATATTTTTCTCTATTTCCCAATCTTAGAAAATGATCCATGTATTAACTGTCTAATTGGGGAAAAGTTTAAATCAGTGATCTCAAGGGGAGCGACTTTGCCCCCCACCCCAAGACGTTTGGCAATATCTGGAGACATTTTTATTGTCACAAATGGGGAGGAGGGGTTGCTACTAGCACGTAGCAGGTAGAGACCAGGGAGGCTGCTAAATATCCCTTGAGGCACCGGACAGCCCCCCATGACAACAATTTATCTGGCCCAAAATGTCAATAGTGCTAAAGTTGAGAAGCCCTAATGTAAATATACCATGCAAAGTAACATATCCCTGTTTACGTTTCACTTTACTTGTTTCTTCGATTAGTTAATAGGTGGGAGGAGAGATCCTGGACTCGTACCTGAACAATGAATTGGTAGATCATGACCAGGCTGACCAGCATGGTGATGTTGGCCAATAAGGAGAAGACGGACAGGACTCGAAGGTTCCTGATGAAAACCAGCAGCACCAGGAATGGCAGGAAGGTGAGCATGTAGAGTCTCGAGTCCATGGTGGGTATCAGAATCACTGTCTCATTGTTGAAGCAGTTGGAGGTGGTTGCATTGGCTGCTTCTATCACCTAGAATGAGGGAAAGACAAGAAACAGAAAAAGCTTCTCAAATGACAAAGGCCAGTTGACCTCCCACCAAAAGGGGTTCCTGATTAACAGTTCAATGTGTGAAAAAGGCTGTACAGAAGTCGTGGTTGATGAACTGTCTTTGCAGATCTTCATGACTATCATAGCAAACCAATTATTTGAGCTGGGTTTGATCATATTTTACCTAAAGACAGGAAAATGAGTAAGACATTTTCAGCTTCTCAATGCCCTAAGTCTTTAGATGAAATCAAACAAAAGACACTGTTCTGTGTAAAGAATCTTAATTCTTTTGTCAATCAAAACTGGTTTTAAGCCTGGCCGGGCATGGCTCAGCAGGTGAGCATCGGCTTATGATCCAGGAGATCGTGGTTCAGTTCCTGGTCAGGGCACATGTCTGGGTTGCAGGCTCAATTCCCAGTGGGGCATGTGAAGGAGGCAGCCATCAAGACTCTCTCATCATTGATGTTACTATCTCTCTCTTTCCCTCTCCCTTCCTCTCCCTGAAATTACAATAAAGATATATTTTTAAAAAACAAACCAAAAAACCTGGTTTTAATAATAATAATTTAAAAAAACTGGTTTGGAAAAAATCCTACACAGAAAAGTCCACTCATCTCTTGCCAGTCTCTCTCTCTCTCTTTCTCTCTCAACCAGGGTCCTACCTGTTTAAAGTTGTCAGCCAGGAAAACAAAGTAGACACAGCAGAATCCCAGCTGCGTGACAATCAGGAAGAAGTCCACAGTGTGCCTGAAGGTGGAGAAGGAAAGAATACAGAGATCATGATGATAAAAAGCAACACTCCCAGGGAGATGGTGTTTGAACAGTGCTTTTGCCCCAGTCATCACAGACCCTTCCCATCAGGTGACAAGGAGAAGTGTGCCCTGGTGAGAGGAGAAACTGTGCTAAGTGCGACCAGTCTGGAGCTTTGAAGAAAGGTGAAGCAGGTGGTACCTGTGTGGTTTTCAAGATTCCCTTCCTGACTTCTTGTCTGGAATGCTGCACAAGGTCAGGCAATCCCAAGACAGAAATGGCTGGAGAAGAGCACACACACCAGGACCGCTGCCCAGCACCTTGGTTTCCCCCTCCCCATGGCCCGCCTCTCCCATCTCACACCGTTTGTTCTAAAGCTACAGGGAACCCTCCACATAACAGCCCAGGAAGTGTGGACCCCTTCACAGTCTCTTTCTATAACTTAAATCCAAGAAACAATCTACTCTCACATAAGTACACAGAAATAGATGTACCCAAACAGACTGCTGGTTGAAACCTGTTACAACAACAGCTGGCAACAACCTAAAGGGTCGTCAAAAGAAAAATGATTAAATTATAGACCATTCTTAAATGGAACAGTATAAAGCAGGTAAAAAGCATATGTTAAATCTATACAGGCTGATAGAGAAATGACTAAGACCTCTAAGAGGAAAAATAAGTTTCCAAACAGTTTGCATAGTATTGTCAATTTATATTTTAAAAATTTTAAGAAGATGTACATTTGTATATATACCGATATTCCAAAAGGATATCCACGCAACTGTGACCAGTATACATACTTTTACTTTTCACTTTATATCCTTCTATCTTGTGCGAAAAAAAATTTTTTACCTCAAGTATACATTAATTTTATTAAAGCAAGGAAGAAAGAGAGTGAGAGGGTAAGAAAGGGGGCAGGAGGAGCCATGGGGAGAAAAGGAAAGAGGGAGAGAGAGAGAAAGAAAGAGAGAAGAGGGTGAGGGGGGAGAGGAAAAAGGGAGAGGGAAGGAAGGAGGGAAGACTCATTCAACAACTAACCAACCAACCAACAGTGGTCACTTGGCAACCTGGGTTCTCGCAATCACAGAAAATGATTTTGCTAAAAGAATTACATAAACCTGTATCATAGGAGGAAGCTGACGATGAGTGAAGGTGAAAGTCCCCCTTTAACCCACAAAAAGGAGTTTTTCTGAAGAATATAGTTTTAATGTGGTTCAAAAAAGTATTTTAAAAAAGGACTCAGCCCTTGATGGTATAAATCCCCCACATCTAAATGTACTGTTTCCTCAAATAGAAAACAAAAAGTAGGATATTTCCCTTCAGGCATCTGACAAGTTACCATAAGGAGAAATTTCCAAAATACTCCCCACCTCCTGAAATGTCCCTTTCCTTAATAAACCCATTTGTTCTAGCTCGCCTCACCAGCTCACCTCGCCTCCTCCTTGAAGCCTTCCTTCTCCTGCCCAGTACCATGCTCATAAAGTACCTATCATGTGCACTTCTCATCTGGCACAGCGGGCAAGAGAATCTGGAAGCTTCTCTGAGTGTCTAGGATGTATTTATAGCTCAGGACACTCTTCCTATTAATTTATACTATTCCTGATCTCTTGTTCACAAGCTTCTCACACACCTCTCTCCTTAGAAAAACAAGCCCCCGCAGTGCCGGGACCACATAGTTTACCTCAGAGAATCCCCCCTCCCTATATCTAGAATTGTTTTGTACACTTATGAGAGAGTGCTTATACATATTTGTTGAACAATGAGGGAATTAAATGTAATCCCTGTTCACAGACTGTCAAAACTGGAACAACACCTATAGAGATCTTTCAGGCCAGGCCCCTTGTTTTACCAATGAGGAAACTGAGGCCCAGAGAAGGGAGGGGTCACACAGCCTAAGGTCACAGAGATTATCACTAAAAGGCTGAACTGGAACTCAAGTTCACTGACCCAAACAATGGTCTTTTCACTACGTACACTGTCTCCCACATCTCACCCCCCTATCGGAAGGCCTTACCACTAGGCAGCCACAGCCGCAATGAGAAAGGAAACCAGTTACCTTCCCCAGTGTGCGTGGTTCCGGAGCCAGGAGATAGGGCTGGATTCCAGTCCGTACATCACTGTCTCCCCATAGTCCACAAAGGGCTTGTTCAGTCTGGAAGGAGGGGAGGGAAAGAGGAAGGGCAGAGTGTGTGGGTTAGACAATGACAGAACCAATGTAGCTCCCTGAGACCTGGGCAAGTTACCCACCTGTCACCCTGGAGATATCACTGAGTCCTGGGTCAAATGCTTTCAAGGATCAAAAGCAGCAAATCAATAGGATTGTTACTTTCACTATAATTAACAACCATCTGGTACAGTAATTTCAATGGGTAAATATTACAAAGCATATAAAATTGACATATGACACATGATGAAAAAGGACACAAAAATAACAGGGCAATGTTACCAGCAGCCACTTTCAGCTAGCATAAAAAATTTAGAGTGATCTGTGTAAGTGCTCACTTTCAGGTAATGAGACCTAAAAGGACAAACTGTCACTCAAGAGGCGGCTCAGAGGGTTCTCACCTGCGGCAGAAGTGGTGAGCACATTTCACCAGGATGCTCATGCAGTGCACGGCCACGATGCCTATCACCAGCAGGCTGAGGGGACCCATCTGGGGACAGGTGTTGCAGGCAAGAGAGGGAGAGACAAGCAGGGAGAATTAGGAGTGAGCCAACAGAGACTAGATTTGCAAGTGATCACAACGCTATGCTACTAAGGCACTTTCCAATGACAAAAGTTCTGGCACAGCATTAGAAACAGAAATGTGAGCATGGAGATTAGCTCGGTGAGACAAGCATCATCTGAACCTTAGCATGTCTCCGAGAGAATTAATCTCGTGGAGAATGACACAAGATAAGGCTGTTCCAAGACTGTGGCCAATCAGTAGAACAGGAGGCTATTGTGACCGTTTGGGAAGAGATGGGTTAAGGGGTGTGGGGGGAGGGCAAAAGTTCTTTTAAGAGCAATATCAGCCTGGCTGGGCGTGGCTCAGCGGTTAAGCGTCCACCTAGGATCCAGGCGATCAGGGTTCGATTCCCGGTCAGGGCACATGCCCAGGTTGTGGGCTGCAGCCGATCAATGACTCTCTCATCACTGATGTTTCTATCTCTCTCTCTCCCTCTCCTTTCCTCTCTCTGAAATCAATAAAGATATATTTAAAAGAAAAAAGAAAAAAGAGCAATATCAGATCAAGAAAGAGAGCCCTTAGCTAAGGATAACCCACATCTCTGAGCTCTAACAAAAAACCGAATGGCTTTGGACAGGTAGTCTATGGGGGGTAAATCATAAAAGAAAAATATTCTCAGAGTTGGCCATCTAGAGATGGGGTGTGGAAGCATGAGTAGAAAATGGACAGACTTCTGCTACTAATTCATTAGTTAACATTATTGATAGAAACTGCCTGAGACATTCTAAGTACATTATTCCCACCAGAAAGTAAGCTCCCTGAGGGCAGGAATCTTTTTTTTAGTCACTGGGAGTATCCTAAGAGCCTAGAATAGTGCCTGAAACACAAAAGGCCCTCAATAGATCTCTTTAGATAAATGGGACATCTGAATTTTGCTTTCTCTCAGCTGAATTTTTTTAAAGCTTCCCATTACAATGTTTTAAATAAAGTAAAAAACTTTTGCCTAGCCGGGTGTGGCTTAGCAGTTGAGAACTGACCTAGGATCGAGGAGATAGCGGTTCGATTCCCAGTCAGGGCACATGCCCAGGTTGTGGGCTCGAGCCCCAGTCGGGGCATGCAGGAGGCAGCCGATCAATGACTCTCTCATCATTGATGTTTCTATATCTCTCTCTCCCTCTCCCTTCCTCTCTCTGAAATCAATAAAGATATAGTAAAAAATAAAAATTAAAAAATAAAGTAAAAAAATCTACTATCTTCTAAAATTGTCATGAAACTTCCTTCTACCAATGCAGACCCTTACCAAGATGCCTGCATTTTTCACAGCCAGGGGCAGCCCTAGGAGTCCTGTGCCAATGTTGCCTTTTAACAGGTGGATCAAGGTCTGGAACCATCTGAAGTGGGAAGAAGTAGACAAGGGCATGTTAACAACAAGAGCTAACATTTATTATACACTTAGCACTGTCCTAAGTGCCTTCATGTTTTACTTCATTCAATTTCCCCAACAACCCTATGGGATATGTATTAACTTCATTTTATGGATGAGGAAACAAGTTGCCCAACGTCACACAGCTAGTAAAGAGTTTAACCAGGATTCAAACTCCAGTGGTCTGATCACCAAGTTCACTCTCCTAGCCATTGGGCTACAAGCTCTGCTCCCTGTGGCATCTCTGAGAGCTCCCTCTTTCTTAGAGATGAGACCAGAGGAATGGTAGGGTTCTCTCAAGGCACTCTGTCCTTTCCTAGTGTTTCTGGGCCTGGTTTTTACCACAGACCTGTCTACTGTAAAGAATCAGGTCCTATACTGTAACAGAGGATGACAAGCTTAACTGTGAAGAACAGACACTATTATCAGAGAACAGAGGAAATAAAAAAGAGAAACCCAAAACCCTTAACAGAAAGTTTTATGGAGGAAATTTTCATGCTTATGTGAATTCTCCTTGTGAACATATTCAAGTTTTTCTCCTATTAAAAAAAAAAGTTTTATGGAAAGTGAACAGAGTGTAAGTCATACAGTACCTCAACAAGCCACAGAGTCCTAGGATTGGAGAAGTCCTCTTCAGTCACCTAGTTTATCCTTCTGCCTTGAGGGCAGATTTTTCCCTCACCTACTATACAGACTGTCCCCCTCAGGGTACAACTGTAAGGCCTCTCGCACTTCCTCATTTATTTTTTCACTCAGTAAATTACTATCATGTGTAAAACATTGTGTTAATGTAGTGGCGGAAATAAGTAAGAATCAGATATGGACCTCAGTCTCTAGAAACTAATAATGTCTCAAGATAGAAAGATTCCAATCTGAAGAGGAGCCAGGAAAAATGCCCATGGAGAGGAGGCAAGTGAGGGCTCAGAAGAGAGAGATCTGAGCAGAGCCCAGCAAGACAGGAAGCATTTGTAAGTGCTGGTGAGGAAGGCAGGCCTGGGAACACTAGCCTAGAGAGAAACATGGGGCACCAACATGAAAGAGTGCATCAGTTTCGTGGTCACTCAGGTGGGGGTGAGGATGGGTAAGGAACTTCTACTTTTTCCCTAGGGAATGGGAACTCATCAAAGGCCTGATAGCAGAGGAGTGGCCTCATCTTCAGTATTTTCTAATTTTCGTTACTTCCAGAAGGTCATATACAGACAGTATGGCTTTCACCCAAATCACACACTCAAGATTTGGCCCCTGGCACTGTCTTAAAATTCTTCTGTACAAATAATCTAAATCCCTCCTAAATGATGCTTACACACATTTCTTCAAATCTGCAATTCAGGAGGAACAAAAGGCAAATATCACATATTATTTGACCATATCAGACTCATCTTTACCCTCTGGAAAGGAATTTTACTTTTGGTAACCCTTCTCCTTCTACCTCCAGGAAGAAAACTTCTCCAATTTCTTACTGTCCCCAAGCTTTTCAGGAACAATCAAGGATACTGCTTCAAGTCTAAAAACAAAAGGCTGAGTGCTCTTCAGGATTATTCTGAGGAAACAGCTTAAGGACCAGACGGCAAGGTTCCAGAAGTGACTCCATTATCAGCAGCCAGTGACCAGGAGAGTATGGGCAGGATGATGGGCCAATCAGATTTCTATCTTGGCAAAAGGAAGCACTGTACCAAACCCACTTGCCTCCCAGAGTCCTCCCCTAAATGCCTGAGCCGGGTTTCATGGGAGATTAGGTCTTTCCAGCCCTGGCTCTGCCACTAACTCCATATGGTAATTCCCTTCCCTTCTCTGGGCCTGTTGTCTCATCTGTAGAGTGAGGGGATTAGACTAGGACAACATACTGTCCAAGGTCCCTTCAGCTCTGAACCACCAGGATTGTAGGCAACTGACCAAAATTACTCTTTTTACACAATGGTCCCAAACTGGGATTACCCAAAACCATGAGTATCATGAAATCAACTCCAAGGACTGCTAAGTCTTAACTG